CTCTCACATGGTTTGGGATTTGCTTCTGCCGAAGAACCAGGTACATCACCACCCTAGAACCAACTTTACTTAATTTTTGGTAGGTGTTACATAATATTTACATAATGCTAAGTTAAAAAATGGAAGGTGACTGTAAGCAGGTCCATGGCTAAAAGTTCTCAGGGAGGACTTCCCCCCAGTCTGGCGTGTGGGCTGAGACGGCACACATCCTGGCTGTCTTCTGTACCAGTGTGCAAACGTGCATGCTTTCACTACACGCAGGGACCCCCGACGGTCTGGGCTTGATGAGGGGTCTCCACTTCCAGCTCCGCATCCTGGGCCAGCCCAGCACCGCGCCTCTTAGTCCCAGGGCTGTGGGAGGGGAGGCATAACCACCCAGCCCCTCAATTCCTGAGACCGACGACTCACCCTGGCTGCTCCAGCATCAGCCTGGGTACTTATTTTAGTTATCTTTACATTCTGGGGCCCTGGGGATATCCTTTCCTTTCTTACGAGTTTAGCTGTGCTTTAAAAGGAAGTTTAGTGTATATATTACCTGGTATTTCTGAAATTGAAGTGTTTTCAGCCTTAAACAGCCATAACGATGGAAGTTTCACTGCTACTTGGCGGAAATGATCTGGGGACTTAATTGAAGAGCTGCTTTTAACACCTAACACGTTCATAAGTTGACAGTTGGTATTTGATTCTGTATGAAATGGGGGGAGCCGTGTCTTAGGGCTTCCGGGAATGAAAACATAAAGGTTTCATTTAATTGATGGAGCTGATATTTCCAAGATCCTCAACTCATTTGTAATGGGATCAACATTCGGTTTTCCGGGTGACATGAGAGGAGACGGTGGCTTCAGGTCTGGGCCCCTGCGCGGGGTGACCAGTCGGGGAGGCGCGGTGGCCACTCCTGCAGGTGGCCGCTGCAGGGCTGTGCCGTCGGGACCGGCCTTCTCCATCCAGGGGAAAGCCTCCGACCTTCGCGTGCAGGAGGGGACAGACGCGGGGCGCAGAGACCGCGGTGCTCAGCGCTGCATGGGCGGCCCCGGCTCCTGTTCTGAACTCTAGAACAGTTTGGGTGCGGGAACCAGCTGCTTCCCCAGTGCGGCCGACTGGGGGCAGGAGGGGTGTGGGAGCAGTCATGGCACCGGGTAGGAGGCCAGCTAAGTGCACCGTCCCCTTTAACCCCCACAGTAAATCCCGTCCCTGGTGCCGTTATTCTGCCCACTTCACAGGTGGATGCTTCGGAGCAGAGGGGCTCAAGAACCCGCCCGAGGCACACACGAGCCCCCTCTCAGCCTCTTTCCCAACCTGCTGGAAACCACATGCTGCTGCTTCGGACATCTGTTTAAACCAGAGAAAGGGCCTAGGACCACGAACATTTAGGGGTCTGTCACCGGCCCAAACGCTGCCAAGAGCCGCAGGAAAAAGTGCCCCCGGTGTGTGGCTGACAGCCACAGAGACACTCGTGAAAGCTGCTTGGCTGAAAAGCAAGATGACTCACCACTAAAGCACAGGCGTCTGCAAACACCAGCATGTAGAACACGTTGCTCCATCCCGACGGGGAGAGGAGCCCGGCCAGCAATGGGCCCAGCGCTGCTCCTGGAACGAGGCAAAGGGACACACGTGGTGCTGTGCGCAGAAAACTCTGGAATGTGACTACCCAAAATACCCAGGCCCAGTAAATATACAGGAAGGTGCTCGATGCCTTACTCCTAACTTAAAAAAGCACGTTAAGGGGACTTCCCTGGCGGTCCAGTGGTTAAGACGTCAAGCTTCCACTTCAGGGGGCGTGGGTTCGATCCCTGGTTGGGGAACTAAGATCCCGCAAGCCATGGAGCATGACCCCAAAAAAGAAAAACCACATTAAACGTTAAAATTTCACTCTCACCTGTCAGATTGATAAGGGATAAAAAAGCCTGGTACTTGTACTGGTGAAGGCAGGATTGGTCCAAGCTTTTTTTGGAGGCAAATCTAAAAATGTGTCTTCACTTTACAATATCCATTCTTTTGACCCAACAATCCCATTAAAAAATTATTATAAAGTAGTCAGAACCTAATGCACAACCTTAGACATTCTTATGCTATAAAAATATTTGGTTAAATATGAATAAGGTTGGTAGATGTTAATACTGTATCACTGTTAACTTCCTGATTCTCATCATTGTACTGTGGTTATACCAGGAATTCCTTGTTTTGGGGGAATACACGCTGAACACATAGCTATTGGTAAAAGGGGCAGCATGTCTGCGATTTACTCTTAAGTGGTTTGGGAAAAAACATGCACGTGTATATTCATAAGTATACACTCATGTGTGTATGCATATGCGCCCGTGTGTGGGTGTGTATGTACAGGGACAGAGAAAAGAGAGAGGGAGGGAGGGAGGGAATGATAAAGCAAATGTGATTTCTTTGTACTATTTTTGAAACCTTTTTGTAAGTCTCAAATTATGTCAAAATAATTTTAAAAAAAACGATAAAACGAAAGCAAATATTCCTCAAAATATCCAGAAATATCTGTTTAAGAATGTTTGTTGCCACAGCTGTTTACTTTCCTAAGAGAGACTGGAATAAGTTATGAAACGCGTGGAGGATGGCTCAGTGGCTCGGAACAGGAAGAAGCATGGAGAATTCCCACCAAGTTACTGACTGAGCTTTAACCTCTGAGAGAGAGGTTGATGAGGGCCTTTCCTAGGTTAGACGTGCTAGTGTTAAGTGTTCACAAAGAGTGCTTACTACTTTTATAATCGGAGAAGCAACTGTGTTTTTTGAAAGCCACAGAAGGACTCCAGGTCAACGTGGATTGTTCACACGTGTTTATCTCTTCCCTCCCGAACACCCCAGGATGAACCATAACTGAGTTAAAAAAAAATGAAAACCCACAAGGAGACGGGTGGATGAGAGAAGGCACTGCTTTTGAGGATGGGATTTAAAGGGCGTGACTGGCATGGTTTTCCTTGCTCACGAGAAGGGGCCGGGGACTCCCAGCTCAGAGCCAGACTGCCCAAGTGCACGAGGCAGGGGCGGAGGGGCGGTAGGAGAAAACGGGGTCTGGCTGAGACTCTTCTATAATGAACGGTTAGATACGACCCTCCGGCCCCTCTGATCCCAGGTTTCTCCTCCTCAGCATCACTACTCAGTGATCACCCCCCCCACACCCACACCCCAGGAGAGCAGAAGCTTAACCTTGCCTCCCAGTGGCAAGAATGCTGGCCGTGAGGTCACACCCCTGTGGGTCCTGGGGGGGCGGGTCTCCTCCTCCAGACCCCAGTCGGACCCCAAAGACCAGCAGTTGACATGCGCCCCGTGCAGAAGGGGCTTCTGACGAGTTCTTAGTGGCTCCGTCTTAAATATGAATATATGATGGGATGGCCGAGGTTCACCCGTGTAGAGGAAAAAGCCTCAACGTGAAAGCAGACAAGCCGGGAGGAGGGGGAATCTGGAGGAAATAAAGAAACCGTGGAGAAGAACATTCCCCGGAAAATGTCATACCCTCGGAGAACTAACAGAAAAAGCAGTTGAATCATGCGAAACTCCCACTTTTGTGTCTGAAAACCATCCAGCTTCAGCAATTTCACAGCATTCAATCTCACAACACTGCATCCAAGAAGAACAGGATGCACTGAAAGGGCAGGATGACACTAATGAATATAACATTGTGATGTCTGAAATAAAAAGTTCAGTACGGAAGTTGGAAAAGAAAGCCAAGAACATCTCGGAGAAAGCAGAGGAGAACAAAGACATCGTCAGGCAAAAGGAAAAAAGAAAATTGAAGGATGAATCCAGAAAGTTAAACATCCAACTAATGGGTTTTCTAGGAAGACAAAAACAGGAGAGGAGACTTGTCAAAGAGAAAACACAGCACACTTTCCCAGGGATGCAGGGCATGTGTTTCCAGACTGGGTGGGCCCCAGGTGCCCAGGGCATGGGGGATGCAAAGAGGCTGCAGAGGTAAAGTGAGCCTGGGGGCCTCCAAGAGGAAAGACCAGAGGTCAGAGGTGGAGGCCTGGGCTAAGGGTGACAACGGGCTTCTCTGTGGTGACAGCGGGAGCTAGAAGACCCTAGAATTCTGGAGAAAAAGGACTCTCAGCTAGAATTCTATACCCAGACAGACTATCCACCAAGGGAGAGAACTGAATCCAGACCCCACAGACTCCCAAGCTCTCAAATCTGCCTCCTGCAAACTATTCCTTGGAAGCTACTAGGAGACGCTTTCCACCAAAGAGGAGAAGTAAACACGGGGTCTAGAAAACAGGGGTCCACCGTGGCCAAGACATGAAAGGGGCTTGCAGGAGGGCAGTACAAGCAGCTCTGGGATGGGAGCCGTGTCCTAGGCAGAGCACAGGGGTCACGTGGCTGCAGGGCCCCTCACAGGCTGCCGGCCATGCTGGAGAGGAAGGAACAGCCGAGACAGAAAAGTAAACAAAAGGGAAAACAGGACGTTTGTTTCTTTGCGGAAAACCAAGAACGTGCATATTAAGGGTGTGATAGTTAAAGTTTATTTCTGGGCTCAAGAGTGAGCGAGGTTAAGCACTCAGGATGGCTGGGGAGGACGAGAGGAGGGGCTGTGGGGAGCAGGGTCCCCAGCTTCCTCACCAGGAGGACAGCAGAGAAGGTCAAAAGGTGACGGATCAAGAAACGTGTGAATGTGTACGTGGGGAAGACTGGAAAGAATGGTCGAAAGTGATGGCTTCTAGAAAGAGGGGGCGGAGGGGCGTGGGCGGGCGACGGTCATTTTGCATTATATACGTTTCTAAGACTACTGTCTGGTTTCTAAAGTAACACTGTGTGTTACTTTGAGAAAATAAAAATTAACTTGAAGCAATTCAGGGCTCTATCTAATCGCTCTGCATAAACATAAAGAAACAGCCAGCCTTGCAGCCCACTGGGATGCAGTTCTCAACCCTGTGAACGCACCAAACACATGAGCTGGTGTCCCTGCAACCGTCTGGCTCTGGTGAATTGCGAGAAGGCACCAGCTTGTTCACAATTAGTCGAGCTCTGTCTCCGTTGGAACCAACATTTACAACATTTAATAAATACATCAGGGTGAACGCCCTTGTGAACAGAATTTCTGCTGGAACTGTGTGCATTTCTGCTTGAGCCTGGCTTTGCTTCCATCTACTTGGGCAGCACGTAAGCAGAGAAACAGTGGGGGAGACACAGTGGTGGACGTGCCTGCCTGCCGTTTCCATGGCGACCACCTCCTCTGTCCCGGTGCACCGGGGTTGCCAGAGCCCCTGGAGTCCAAGGCTCAGCCAGACCCAGGATGCAGGACCTGCAGCGAGGGATGGTCTGAGTTAGCCTCTGCCCTCCTTCTGTGAGGGGTGACAGGTGTCCAGAGCTGGGCTTTGGCTCCTCCTGCAGCTCAGAGCCTGCCCCCGATTAGAGACGCAGAGTCTCTACCCGGGGCCAAGAACTTCTGCTTCCCTCTTGTTTTGAGAAGATCAAGAAAAATGTGTTCTTTAGGCTCCTTCATAATTTCCTTCTTTTTAACCCCCCATCTTCTGCTTTAAAATGCAATCAGGGCTGCCGGCCAAGCTCCCAATTTGCTTTCAGAAAAGGGTGTCACGGTGGGCGCTGGACTGACTCAGACAGACGCCTCTGTGGACAGAAGGTAGAGAGGATGTGGCCGGGTCACACAGCCCCTCAGAGCCGTGCTCAGCCCAGGAGTCTCCCGACAGCGCATCTTCCAGGCTGTGGGAAACTTCTCAGGGGCCATGTGAGCCCGGGGGGGCGTGCTGGCAGACCGCGGACACCCGTCACACGGCACGGCCCCCTGCCCTACCTCCCTAACCCCAGACCTGTACCCCGGCTCCCAAGAGGTGCCCCCGAGGGGATGTTCTCACCGAGGACATCAGAGTGGTGAGGTCACTATCACAGTGCGGCACGAGCAGGGGCTGCGGAGGCCCTGTCCCAGTGAGCCGTGCAGGTAGCCTCTGCTACCCGGCCCCTCTTCTTCGAACCCGACAGCCTGGATGGGAGACCGCCCGGCCCACCTGCGATCTCCCGTCTTAGAGCCACCGGGCAATTCCTTCCTCACCCACTTACTGAGTGCCTGCTCCATCCCAGGCACCGTCCCGGGGCTCAGAGTACAACCGAGAACGAAACAAACTCCTGTCCTCCTGGGGCTTCCATTCAGGTGCAGGGAGAGAGGACAGTACAGAGCAGACAGGTGGACGGTGCTCCAGAGGAGGGCGGGCCAGCGGGGAGAGGCCCTGAGCCTGGGCAGGGAGGGGTCCGCACGTCCCAGACAGGGTGGACCGAGGAGGGCCGATGGAGAGGCCAGTATTGGGTGGAACTGTGCTTACAGAGCCGCTTTTGTCCGGCAAGCGCTTGGTTTACTGCTACAAGGGTGGTCCAGACCCCCCAGGGCCCCTCCCCACCTGGCCTGCCCTCTCTCTCATTGTCCCCCTACTTCAGGGGCCTGGGGCAGCAGGTGACACATCAGGATGCAACCGAGATCCTCTGCAGCAGCCATTGGGGCCACTCCAGCCCACCTCCCAGCTTCAGTTCCCGTGTCTCCAGCAAGGGGCCCTCACCGACACAGGAGCCCGGGGCAGGCAGCTCTGGGGTCTTGGCGGAAGGGGTCCCGGTCTGTGTGCTCCTCCCAAGAGGCTCAACAAAGGTCATGGACTTTGCTGTCAGCCTTCTGACTCACGGATCAGGACGGGCTTGCTGTTTACCAGCTCCCATCGGCCCAGCTCAGAGTGGCGAGTTGCTCCTTTTTCCCTCCAGAATATGCTACTGCATTCTCTCCAAGATCCTTAACGGGGCTGGTAACACTCGGAGTCTTGTGTGCCACGGGACCCACCAGTTCACCTGTCATTTATATTGAAATAAGATCCTATCTCCCTTGAAACGACTGTGATAAACACTCAGTGGCCCAGAGGCCCGTGGGCCATAGTCTGCCCACCACCAGCTTGGAAGAAAACCTGGGTCCCCCTCCTTTCACACCGAGGAAATCTTGTTTTGCCAGCCACGTGCGCAGGTCTCCTCTGGAACCATCCGACCAAAGAGGATAGGCAGGGTCAGCCACCTGTTTGCTCTGGGTTTGCACGTGCTTTTGAACTGCTCACATTTTAAGAAGGCCAGCTGATCCTGATATCACCAAGGCAACTGGAATCCTGGGCGTCTGTTAACTAGGATGTGACGATGTGTCTCCCCTAGGGCCACAATGATGGGCTAAAAGCATCCACGTACCTACAGACCCAGTTCCGTCAATGATGGCGGTCACGGTGGCCAGGGCGTGGGAGTTTCCCTTCAGACTTTTATGAGTCCCCTAGAAGAGAGGGAAACACAAACGTGAAACACGTCCCAGCAACAGCAGAGGCAGAAATAAACCTACACTTCCTCTATGACAATTCACCCAAATCACTTCGCAAAGCAAAACGGGTACTTCCATCAGAAAATTTAAGTTCTGTTCCATCCCAATCTCACCTTGGAAAAAGATGCAAAGTTTCAAGTGCTTTTAATAGTAAGAACTCATCAGAAATACTTGTCCAAGTATATTCTAGTTTGGAAAAGGTCTTAGAATTCTCTTCAGTAAGCAAATCTTTCCTCGGCACAATCACCGAGGCACCTTATCGGCCAGCGTGGAAAATGAAAAGATGAATGGTGTTCGTCCGGTCCCTAAGCTGTGCCAGTGCTAATGCCTGCGTCCATGAGTCTGCCTGGGGCTTTCTGTGCCATGGGTGAGACACCTCTGCAGTGTCTACTTAGTGGCAAGTGCCCGGGGACGGGTAACAGGGCAGGACCCAAGAAACCAACGGAGGGGGCACAAGTCCTAAATGAAAAACCAACAGGACCTCTGGTTTTCAAAAAGCACACGTACAGGTTTGGGGGGAAAAAAATCACAAACTGAGGACAATAAAAGGAAAACATAAAGCAGGAAAAATAGTGCCTGGAAGCCTAAAACTGTACAAATAAACCAAAGCTTGTAAAATACAAGTGCTTGTGTGTGTACGCAACCATCTACAGTATAAAATAAAGCACACACACGACGAGTTAATCCCCCAGAATCCATGTCTTCTGGAATCTGCGAAAGTCCCTCCTCCGCCCTCTAACTCCATGAGGGCAAACACGCTGCTGGGCCGGTGTACACCCTTCCCGAATTTTCTGTGCTCACACAGACAGGAGCCTGAGCCCTCGTGGCGACGAGGAAGAGAAAAGCACCCCCTCCTTCCTCTTCTGCTCTCTGCTCCCCTGTCAGGACAGGACTTCTGGTTCTGCCTGGAAGAAAAGAGCCTGGGACGCTGAAGACAGTGCGTGAGGGCAGACTGGTGGCTCTACGAGGGCCGAGGGCCAGGCAGACACACCGCCCGCGGCCCTAAGAGAAGGGGACGCGGGAGCAGGCATGGGGACTGCAGAGACATGGGCTTGCTGTGGTTTCTAAACGGGAGAGTGAGCTGGAGGCTGGTGGGTTCTGGGTCTGATGCAGAAAGGACTTGAGAGACGCCGAAGTGAAGAGGGGGTCACTGGAGCTGGCAGGAAAGTTCAAGGGCACCAGGGAGCTGGCTGGGGGAGGGGATGCAGGACCAGATGGCTGAGACGCCCGGCCGCCCTGCCCACAAGTCTGTAAACCACTTCTGGGGAACTGCTCGTGATTTTAAATACGCTTTTAATTTTAGAATAGTCTTAGAGTCACGGAAAATTTGCAAAGAGAGAGCAGATTGTGGCAAACCCTGCTCCCATTTTCCCCTGTGTTAACACCTTACACCTTTCGGCTGTGTTCATCATGATGAATGACCCACTGCCGATGCAGTGCTCATGAAAATCTACGCTGTATTCAGACCCCCTGGGCTTTTACCTAGTGTCTAATTTAATCTCTCTCTGTCCCAGGATCCCACCCAGGACACTGAATAATATTTAGTCCTTGTGTCTCCTGGGGCTCCTCGTGGCTATGACAGCTTCTCAGACTTTATTTCTGGGACTTTCCTTGTTTCTTGTGATTGGATAGGGTGTGGGTTCTGGGAGGGGGACCACGGACGTGAAGGGCCGTGCTCATCACCTCTTACCCGGCATCCGTGCATCAACATGACGCATCCCTGCTGGTGTTGATGGTGACCCCTGGTGGAGGTGGGGCTGTCAGGTTTCTCCCCTGAGAAGTTACTCTATTTCCCCCTCCCCACGCTGCCCTCTGTGGGAGGACATCCCTGTGCACAGCCTGCCCCTTAGGAAAGGGGAGGTGTTCTCCCTCCCCCAGGGCAGAGGACCTGCATAAACCCTTCTGTGCAGGACACCTGCCTCTTCTCTCCCGTTTATTTATGGAAACTACCTTCTAACAGGGGATTTTGTATTTCAGTGCAGCGTGTCCTTCAGATGTCCGCACGTGGCCACTGCACGAAATTGACTCTTTCCTATCAGGTGGATGAGACAGCCCTGCTCTCTCAGGGCCCCTAAGGTCGACAGTCAAATGTTATCTGTAAGAAGCCTCCCCTCCAGGGAGAACTGGTCAGGAGCCCCCGTGGATTCCAAGGCCCTAGGTGGCCCTGCCGTGGCATTCACCACCCGGTGAAAGAAACCGGAACCGTTTCTTTACCATGTTGGCCTACTGCCTGGAGTATGTCCTCCCAGAGCTAGGACCCCACTGGGCTTGTCCCTAAAGTCCCCAAGACCAGCAGGGGGCTGGGCACAGAGGGGGCACCCGGGGTGGGCTGGACTCTGCTGAGGCCCCGAGGGGGGGCTCTGGGGCACACGGCCACCAGCCTCCGGGGCTGCCAGGGCAGCTCAGAGGAGCGAGCCAGTTGCTGGCTTCGGACCTCGGGCCTCAGACCATCTCAGCCCACTTGTTTATGGGACGGGACTGCCATGTTCCCTTATTTGCTTCAGAAGACTCTTGGCATCCTTACTGGTCATCTGCAAAAGAGTGCTTATAGAAACAGACCATTTTACTAACAGAGACCACTGCGTCACGATGGACAGGGCGGCCGCCCCGGGCAGCATCTGGCCCCGGCTCTGCGCTGAGCTGCCCTCACTCACCAGGTCGGCGGAGACGGCGGTCGTGATCAGTGCGTACGGCCCGCTGACCAGGGCCCCGCTGAGGAGCAGCATGGCTGCGGGAAACAGAAACCGGGAGGGGGGGGTTCAGCCAGCAGAACAGGGCCCTGCGGGAGAGCCTCTACCGTCTTAGCTACTCCTAGGTGGGCATCCCGGCATCACACACGGGTCGGGACGCAGGCCGGTGCGGGGAGTGGCCACTGCTGGGGCAAACGTCACAAACACCTTCCTTCAAACTTGCCCTGAGATGTCACTAAGTCCAATCACACTTCCCAAAGATCCAAGCTCCGTTCAGAGGACCTGGTCCCCGCCTGCTCAAACATGATGGGCAGCAGTGTTGTCAAAAGCCAAGAGGAACTGAGAGCCCTGGCACCCGGGCACAGACGGGACCACAGACGTGATGCGGGTGAGCGCCTGGATGCCACCACCAGCCACAGCCTCGTCTGCAGCAGACAGGGCTTCCTCTCTGCACCCACAGCTGCACAGCCCAGCTCCGCATGGGCGGGACCACCGAGCTCATAACCTGTCCCCTGGGCTCACTTTCCCAGACCATCCCCTGGTTCACATTCCTCTGTGCGGAAGCTTCTGGACCGAGGGGTCCCAGGAAACTCCACGGTCTCCTTGAATCAGGAAGCTGCCCTGTGGATAACTTTTAACGGGATCCCTGCCAATCCCCACTGCTGTCACGTGACAACAGAAGAAGTAGTTACTCAGTGTCAGAGCCATAATTTGATAGCGCTCCTTGCAGGAAGTTAAAAATAGCAACTGTGCCCAGAATGGCAGCTGACAGAGCAGCTAGGAGGGGACGGTGCCCCTGGGCTGTGATGCTGGGGCTGCAGCCCCGCCTGCTGCCTTCCGGGGCACGTGCGGCTTCTCTGAGTGCCTCCTGCACTGGGCACCCAGAGCTTCTCACCGCCCCAGCCCAGGGGCCTGCACCCTCCCACGCTGGCCCTTAAACCTGAGGCCTCAGGTCCGGGAGCAGAAGTCTCTATGGGCCCCTCCCATCTGCCCCCCCCAATCCCCCAAAGAGGGACACAGGGACAATTGTAGCTACATCGCACAAACTGCTTCTTTGTTGATTTTTAAGTTTCATTTCACAAGGCTGTGTGGACAAAAAAAAAATGTGTGTGAAAGTAAAGAAAGGCCTCATAGACTCACCGATGGTGGCTTCTAGACCCATTTTGCTGATGGCAGAGAATACGTAGAGCTGTGAACGGTGTCAAAACCAGAGAAAGACAAAGGTTTACTACGACTAGCTGAGAGATTACCCAGGAATGTGTATTTCTGAAAAGTGATTCTCAGGCAGCCAACCAGACAGTGGAAACCCCTAGAAAGGAAGGAAGGCCACGCCGCCCTGGCAGGCTACCCAGAGACAGGCAGCCAGAGTGCTCGGCCAACTGCCCCCAGGCTTGTGAGCTGGGAACCCAGGGGGGTGGCCCCACTCTGAGCTCCCAGGGGAGGCGCCTGGGTCTGGGGCAGCTCCCCCTGAGCTCCGTGTCCCCTCCCAGGCTGTCTGTCCCGAACACCAGGGCCCTGATTGGGGTTGAGGTGATGGCCGTTCCCAGAAACCAGAGCCCTGAGAGGAGGGGGCCCAGGAAGCTGGCGTGTGTGCTGCGGGGAAGACAGAGAAGCTGTTTCTAGAGGCGCAGGTGCCCTGACGAGGTTGGGGGCTGGTCTCACCGTCGGGGCTGCGAGTAGGAGCATGAGGCCGCAGGTGGAGGCCCTCTTCTCCAGTCGATCGGAGATCACACCTGCCAGGATCCCACCTGCAAGGGAGAGGGAGGGTCCTGAGGGGCGTGTGTGGCCAGGGCAGGACCCCGTGGAGAGGAAGCAGGACCCGTGTTGCAGCAGTGGCAAGAAGAGAACGACCTCCTCTCTAGGCCCGTTTCCACAGCCCGTGAGCAGGAAGCCGCGTCAGCGCTGCTGACCCGTGACCCGAGGGCACCTAGGTCTAGGGGTCGGCTTTCAGGCGGGCCTCAAAGCCCCTTTGCCTGTGAGGGTCCTGACACCGCCCGTCTGTCGCCCATATGAGGCGTGCCCTGGTCCCCAGGGAGCACCGCTTACGGCCCAGGATGGGGAGGGACCTGCACTCAGAGGCCCGGCTCGGGGGCCTCCCGGTTGGAAGTCCACTCCAAGAGCGCGCGGGCCACGGGTGTTCACGCGGCGCCGCGGCGGTGAAGGCTTCAGTCAAAGTAGAACAAAAATGAACTCACCGAAGATCCCGCCCACATCAAACAAGGTGGAGAGCTCCCCGGCCTTCTTGACATCGAGGTGATCTATTAACGTGACAGCAGAGCGTCACCGCAAGCACATCGCAGCAGCGTGCGAGCCTCACACGACACTCTTTTGTTTCAGAAGCATGATTTAAACCAGGTAGCAGTTAGATCCATTATCAGATTAGTGTCAAGGCAGTAATTACAGAGGAGAAGGAAGAAAGAGTCCACTCTGTGCGCAGACACACAGAAAGGATGGAAACCGAACACTCTTCACCGAAAGGGGAGGATTCCCCTGGCTCAGTCAAAGCAACACCCAGCCTTTGCTCTGGGTCCCCCTCGGGGCAGCCGTGAAGTCAGACACGGCCCGAAGGCGAGGCAGGGCCTGTGGGGCACCACCTGGGGAAGGGGCTGGCCGCAAGAGCGCCCTGGACATGGACCATAGGACCCCCAGCTTTCAGGCCAGGGGCGGCTGGAACCTTCTCCTCCAGAGGAGGAGACCGAGGTGTCCTCACGCTTGGCTCGGGATCTGTCGCTGGACTTAGCACAAAGCCTGAGCTTCAAGCTGGATTCTGGCTGGTCAGCGCCTGGAGGTTTGGGAGCCTCCGGACTGTGAATCAGGTCCTGCCCTTCCTAGAGGCCCAAACGGCACATACCGGGAACTCTGCTCTTTTCAAACAATCCCTCGGACGGTAAACGCCGGTAACTCATGATGTGAGCCCTTCGCAGTCACAGGAGACCGCTGGGGTGGAAGGTGCAGGGCCGGCCTATCAGGCACCCACGTGTCTACACCGTGTGCGCCTTGCCTGCGGTAACGAGTGGAGGTCGCTGGCCCGGGAAGGAAGCTCCGAAGCCCCGCCTTGACGGGGTCCCTGCTAACAGAGGGTGGTCCCCTCGCCGCCTCCACAACCTCCATCCCCGAGAAACTCAGCCCTCCGGCCTCGGGCTCACATCCACCTCTGCTGGTCCTACGACACTGCCAGGAGTTACTGGTCTGTACTCTGGAGCCCCCATGTCCCAAATGTCTCCTCTTTTCACGTTCGCTAGAGCCCGCTCCTCCGGGGGACCCTGGTTTCTTCGCTTTGTCCTCACACTCCCTGACCCCGGGGCCCAGAGCGTGGGGCCCTCCTTGACCATCCCTGTCCCCATTTAGCCGTGGCTGCAGCCCCTGCATAGGACCTCTCCCCGGAGGAGCTGCTGGTCCCTGCCCATCTTCCCGTGTGGTCGCGCACGGGACAGGGAGTGGGCGTCACTGCGGGGCGAATCTGCTCTGTCAGGATCTCCGGCTTCAGTCCCTGCTGGACTGGAAATGTGAGACAAACTGTCTGCTCCCCAGAATTAGAGCTCATCTCCAGGAAGCAATTTCCAGGCCAGTTACTCAGCCTTTCTTATCTCAGATCCCTCAGGCCTCTGCTCCTGTTCACCAGCTGCTGTGACCCAAAGTCCGATGCAGCCTACATTAAAAGTATGCTGCCCCAGACAGGAAGAACCCCATGGAATTTGTAGCCACAGCCGGGATATACCCTGTCAACCCTTTAAACCCCATACAGGTTATCATTATGGCAATGGAACGTTGCTGTCTGAATTCTTTTTGTCTGTACATTTCTACTAATCATGTTGTTTGATTCAAAAGCATCATGCATCCCTTTCCTTTCCAAGACTGTAGACAGACACCAATGGACAAAAGGGAGTCCCGATCACAGACCCTGCACAGAACTTCCCAGCTGTGATGCTAGCAACAGGTACTCACCTACATTTGTGATGTACAGTGGAAGCCAGAAGAGGAAAGTATAGCTGACCAACTTGGCAAACAGTAGACACAGAGAGAACTCTATCACGCCCTGAAAGAGGGAGAGAGCAGGGGTTCACCCCGAAAGTGGGCTCGGCAGGTTTGCTGCAGTAGAATTACACAGCACTTCATTCCCATAAACGCAGCCCGCATCCTGGGTCCGCTTTTAGCACCTCCAGATGCACGGATACTGTACTGCTGTGGAGGGTGTGAGGTAACTGGAGAACCGACCGATACGGACTCTGACCTTTCAAGGCTGCAATTCAATGTCTTTACGTCAGATCGGAGCCAACAAAAATGCTACTGGTTTAATTCTCACGCCGCCTCTCTCTGAAGCTTAGCTATTGGGGGCTTCTCAGAGGGCGCAGATGTCGTGCAGCGCCATCTAGTTACTGAGTCTTTACTGGCTACTTCTTTTCCCCCTAAAACTGAGATCACTGCAAAGGACAGAGATCTGGAAACACGCAGCACAAACGATTCCGACCATCCTGTAAGATACACAGGCTACCTCCGCCTGCCTGGCACTAAGCAAGCCAGTGGGTGTTGGGGGAAACACCCTGCAACCCTGGGTGCCAGAACCCTGCAACGCCCCCTCCCCGTCCAAGTACAAAGGCCCCTCCATGCCCCTGCCTCTTGTCTGTAGAGAAGCTGAAGTCTCCCAGGCCTCCCTGAGTCACAAGGGAATAGGCTTGAGCCGTTAGTAACCAGGATAACAGAGTCACAGAATCTTTCAGTGTCTGACGCACATTCCCGAGTTGTTTTACAGATACTGTAACTGCCACCAGAGGAAAAAGCTGACTGCGTGAGGAGCAGACGGTAGCCATGACAAAGCTGCTTCACCTTCAGCAGTACTGGATCTACGGTTAGCACAGTTCCGAGGACTGGCCTCAAGAGAACGGCATTAACACTGTTGCACATAATAATCTCTGTCTTTGTGGGCATCAAAATATTGGGTTGACCAAAAAATTCATTTGGGTCTTTCCATAAGGTGTCATGGAAAATCCTGAACGAACTTTTGGGCCAACCCAATAACTGTAGCTTGTTCTGCCCACGCACATAAGCAGGGAACTAAAATTGTCAGCAAGGAGGTGCCCCATGTCAACTTCTCCCACTCTGAGAATATGGCATCCTATGTCAGCATGAAGAAGTTATAGAAGATGGACCTTCCCCCATGAACCCACAGAAATGGGATGATGTTCTGACAAGGGGGATCTGTCAGCAGCTTTTGGAAGGAAAGAGCTCTCTGCGGGAGATGCCCCTTCTCTCGTCACTTTAGCAGAGCTGTACTGTAACTAACCTTAAACCAGGCACCCCCATGGTCTACGCGTCTCTGGCCTAAGCACACCTGTCAAATCTTTTGATTACACGATACCTTGCCTAACCTGTTGGTTCTTTCCTAGATCAAAGAAGTAAAAATGAAGAATAAGTAATTAACATCAATGGATGACCTGATCTCTTCCTTAGCTTCCCTGTCCGTAAGCCTGTGAACAAATTGTGTGAACAAGATAGCATCTAAAGAAAGATCACAAGAAGTCAACAAGCCTGCACACACTGGGGGATGGTGACAACTCTGACCCCTTATCTCAATGAGTAACTGAGATTTCTTCTCCTTTTCTCTTTAAAAACGTTCATGGCCGAGCAGAGTCTTTGGAGGTAGTTTTGGGGACATGAGTCCGCCTTCTCCCTGGTTGTCAGCTTTTCTGGTTAAAGCGACTTTCCGTTCTAACCAACACTTGCCTCTCGAGTATTGATTTTCGAGGGCAAGCAGCAGAACTGGAGTTTGGTTAACACCCAAAAGGGAGACGTAGATCTCAGTGAGGACACTGAGGTTTGGAGTCTCACGGCTACTGTGAAATGCTTGCTTGTGTTCCATCTTATGTCTGCGTTTACAAAGAGGTGGCCCTTGTGAGACGGTAAGTCCAGATATCACTTGGGAAATCTGAGTGAGAAATCGGGTAACACTAAGGTACTGACTCCCTCCCCTGCTCCTCCCAGGTTATACTGCATAGTTACGAACATCCCTCGAAACTAGGCAAAGCACACAATATGCAATTCATGGCAGTGCCTTTGAAATTAAGCAAGCTATGCTTTCACAGTCAGACCCAGTATGAGGGTGTGTGTGGGTGGGGTACTGCATGCTTACCATGTGCCTGGCATTGTGCTTACTGTGTAGTTAATGACCTCATTTGATCCCCAGAACAGCATTAAGTAGTAATTCAGGTCCTGAGCCTGTATTACAGTGAGGAAATGGAGGCCCAGAGTGGCTAACACCCTTGCCAGGCACACCCAGCTCATCTGCAGCAGGGCCGGGCCGGGCCAGGCCAGGGCTCTGAAGCCTCTTCTCTCCGCCACCCCACTTCTATTTACAGCGTGCACCCTACTTTTTAGCAGAAGTATTTGAGGTGGCTACACAATAAGGTACAACAGAAAAGTTACTTGTTGTTATTAGCAACATTTAAAAGATAACTTTTTAAGTTAGAACCAGCATGTCCTCTGGCCAGCCCACAGAGATGTCCAGGCCTGGCCTTCAACATTCTCTTCTGGCAGGAGAACGGCAACAGGGTCCTCCACAGCCCAGTTTCATCTGGGCGCTGGCAGAAGTTTCTGTTCTAAAGCCGAAGTTCTCAGTTCTTTCATTTCTGGGCCATGATTCTAAGGCTCTGGGTGTGCTGTTTAGTTTCCAGCTCCCACACGGTCACTACGGAGCTTCTGGTTCTCTCTGCTGGTTTTCCCCGAGGCCAGCGTGAGGGAAGCGCTCTTGCTGTATGAGACCCATGTCTGTTCCCCTGAATAGGACCCAAGGGCAGGAGCCCAGGTGTTTCTGAGTGTGGCCCATGGGGTCGTCCATGCCGGCCCCCAGGGGCAGGGTGGGGTGTGCTCTCTCCTCTCATCCTGCCTCTGTTCCTGGCTCTGTCTTCAGCACCCTCCACGGCTCCCCGTTAGCAGAACACAGCTCCTCAGAGTCCTCTGAACGGCTCCCCAGATGCTCTGCTGAGGGAGCCCATGAATTTCGTATACATAATATACATATATAATATATTTTATAAACTATTAAGAGGCTAACACAACTCTGCACCCTTATTCATTCCTGAGCTGACCTGTCTGCAACTTCTGATTCATGCTATGGATTTCTAATTTATGGATTACGTGATCCAGAGAATCACGGATTTCTCTTTTTAAGCTTGGTTATCAACAGGCCAGTTTCTGTTCATAGTAAGCATAAATGCCCCCTTTTGAAACTCTCCTGGACAGGTGTACTCACAGGAATTTTCAAGGCCCCTACGAAGCTGATGGCCGCGATGCCGCCGCCGCCACCGTCTGCAGGGAGAATGACCACGTGGTTCTGGTGGCCGGAGCGCTTTCCATCCGACAGCAGTAAGCACTGCATCTCTGGGTCCTGGAGACAGATCCCGTTGAAAAGATAAAAGAAAAGAAAAGAAAAGAAAAGGTGTCACCAGGTAGTCTATTTGGTTGAGGTGTGGTAAGCTGCTCCACTAAAGGTCTTGGGGAACGCCTTGGATAACACCCGCACTGTGGCCATTGCTTTATGACCATTAACATTCACGTGGTTTTGGGAAATACTAACTAAAAACACACAAAATCCTATCCTTTGACCCAACAATTCTAGGACTCTGTGAAAAATAATTTGGGAAGTGGAAAAATACTTATATGATAAAATTAATGTCACACCATCATTGAGAAAAATTGCTAAAGTACATCCATATAAATATCTTGCACTTGTAAAAAAAAAGTTTGTGAGATTTGATGACATAGGAAGGTGCTTACGATACATTAAGTAATAAGACATCATTCAAAAGCACATTTTCATTATGATCTCAAAGAATGTTTAAATATGTACCTATGTAAGTAGATAACTAAAGGATCTATTTATAGGAAGAAAGAAGCTAAATTCTAAACCGACAATGGTTATCATTGAACGGTAGAATTACATGTAATTTGTATGAAATGTCGATAAATTCTTTCCATGATCCTGTATTTTTTTAAGGAGTTCACAAAGGACATACATGATCAAAAACAATATTATTTTAAAATTCATAAACCAATCCCACTATTTCATAAATTCTAATTCCAGATATCCCTAAAGGACAAAGTTTATCTTCATTAGGGCTTCCCTGGTGGCGCAGTGGTTCAGAGTCCGCCTGCCGACGCAGGGGACGTGGGTTCATGCCCCGGTCTGGGAAGATCCCACATGCCGCGGAGCGGCTGGGCCCGTGAGTCATGCCCGCTGAGCCTACGCGTCCAGAGCCTGTGCTCCGCAACGGGAGAGGCCACAACAGTGAGAGGCCCGCGTACCGCAAAAAGAAAAAGAAAAAAAAAAAAAGGTTATCTTCATTAAAACAAAGAACTGTGGTCCTCAACTCTGGGGGGGATATCAAGTCAGAACAAGGATGATCTAAAAGTGTCCTTCATGAGGGCACTATACAGGTCAAGGATTGAAAAAGCAATGTTTCTATGTATATTGGACTTACCACAAAACCAAATAGGTTTTATTGTACTTATCTCACTATAATCTACACGAGTTAGATTAAAAAATGCAGTTAAATTAGAAAAAAATGACAATGCATTGCGGTATCCCACTCTTGATATTAGAATTCTCTTCCGGTGAAAGACAGAAATTGGGAAACGGGCTGGCAGGTTACAGCAACTGCAGCCCTATGGGCACTGAGCACGCGGCACCTCAGCTCTCGGGCAGCAAGGGCTTCATCACCGAGAAGCCCGGCGCCCACCATGACTCAGGCATTGAGAACCGGCCTTTGGTGAACATGGTCGCAGGTAACCACGTGCTCTGATGTTTCAGGACGCAGAACATCCTCCTGACGACCATTCCGCAAAGGTATATGAAAACAGAGAATTATGATTTGCGTTTGGAAATAAAGTTTTCTCTCGTGAATTACGCCGGCTGTCCAGTGTAGGAGACGAAATCTGTAGTTCTCAACGCTGGCATCTCCTGGGGGCTCTGGGAGACCCCAGTGCCCAGGCTGCACCTCAGACCGAATACAGCAGTCTCAGGGGCAGGCCCCAGGAGAGCCCGATGTGTAGTCAAGGCTGAGAACCACAGGACAGACTTTTTTAACACTAAGTGGTCTGACTGGTAGACCATGAAATACAGCCAGATAAAGGGAAAAAATAAAGTGAAAAGACTCTGCTCAGCCAGGACAGTAGTAATTGCAGGTCCAGCACAGAAACCCACCAGGTCACAGCCCTGGGTCAGCACCTGGCCCTTCCTTGCTCTGTAAACTGGGCTGGTTTAAAGCCTTGGTCCAGCCCCTCTGCTCTAAGCCACGAGCAGCCCCTCAGGCAGGCAGGGAAGGCCCTGTCTTCGTTGAGGATGGGCCTCCTGCCCACACCTGCTCATCCTTTATGCACAGTCTGGGGGGTGGGGGCCGTCCCAGCCACCCAAGTCCAGTCTTTTGCAGTGTCTGGAGGAGACAGTGGGATGCGTGAGGTCATGGCGGGTTTTCCAAAGCAAATCAGGAGAGCAAGGCTGCCTCTTCCTCGGAGCCAACAGAGACCTGCTGGGAGGACAGGGCAGGGGAAGCGGTGTGCCTGGAGCCCCCGGGGGATCTGCTGGGATGGGGAGCCCTCAGTGGGCTGGGGGCTTATTCAGCTGGGGACCCTCCTCTGAGGTTTATACATGCACAGAGTGAAAGGGCTCCGTGTGATGAGAGCAAAGGCACACGGGGAGTTTGCACGAATGACGGCTTAGCCCTGCCTCACCGCGTGCTGGCCTCAGATGGAGTCGCACTGGCGCGCTGGGTGGAGAAACCTTCAGCATCAAAACACCCACTCAGCGGTCTTGAAGTGGCCGCTGAGCCACAGCCAATCAAAAAGGCCCTCAGAGGGGTGGGAGAGGGGTGGACTGGGAGGTTGGGGTTAGCAGGTGGAAACTGGTATATAGAGAATGGATAAACGACAAGGTCCTCCTGTAGAGCACAGGGTACTCTGGTCAATATCCTGTGATAAACCATAATAGAAAAGAAAATGAAAAAGAATATATATGTATGTATAACTGAGTCACTTTGCTGTACAGCAGAAACTAACACGACGTCGTAATTCAACTATATGTCAATGAAAATAAAATTTTAAAAAAGATAAACAAAAACAAAAAATAAGAACACAAAATGGAAAGAATTTAAAAAGAAAAAAATAAAGAAAGACCCTCAGAGAAGCCAAGGATGACATGGAGGACATGTGACTACAAAGACGACAGAGGTCGACATCCCCAAGACGACATGATAAACACCCACGAAGGCTGGACGCAGGTCTGCCGCGTGGCAAGAGACCCCGGAGCCTCTTTCTCTTTGTTCACATTCTCTTCCTTGCCCACCCCCTTCTTTACATATCTCCTCACGAAGTCTAAGAACCATGCTTGGCATAGAAGAGAATTAAGCAGTCCCAGGTGAAAAGCAGTGGTGATCAGGGTCCTGGGTTAAGGCTCCACTCCGAGCCCGTGGATCTGAGCCAGGTCACTCTGGGAAAGGTGACACCAGTGTGTCTTGCCAAACGTGTAGGACATCCTGCCTGCTGACCCAAGAGCCACCTCCAGCACGTGAGCTCTCCACGCTACGGAAGGGTGGGGACCAAATAAAGCCTGGTTAGCACGCAGGGGCCAGCTGAAAGGGGACACCCGTCCACTGCGGCCAACACCTGCCCGGTCATGTCCACATCAAAGTCAGCCTGTGGCGTGGCCGGGCCTGAAACAGGACCTACGGGGGCCTCTAAATATGTAACTGTCTCTTTGGTGACATGTTAGTAAATAGACTTTAATACAAGGAACAGAAAAAAGGAAGAGGGAAGTTATGCTCAGAAGACAGAGCTAGCTCTACTGGTCAGTAACTACATGAGAACACAGGGCCTGGCTCTTGCCTCAGGGAAAAGATAAGTCTTCAGTAACAAACGGGGACGAATTATAGCCATTTGGACATTGATTAAGACCTGATGCTATGGACTGACATTTGTGTTCCCCCAAAATCTGTATGTTGAACCCCCATCTCTAATGTGATGGTATTAGGAGGTGGGGTCTTAGGTAATGAGGCCATGTGGGTGGAGCCCGCATGATGGGATCAATACCCTTATAGGAAGAGACCGCAGAGAACTTGCTTCTCTCCCTGCTCTTTCACCTGAGGATCCACAGAGAAGGCGGCTGCCTACCAGCCAGGAAGAAGCCTCTCACCAGACATCAGACCTGCTGGTGCCTTGATCTGGGACTTCCCAGCCTCCAGAAACAAATGTTTGAAATGCGAGAAATAAATGTTTACTGTTTAAGCCACCCAGTCTAGGGTATTTTTGTTACAGCAGCCCAATCTAAGACGCCTGCTTCTGATGCAAACTCAGAAGTGAGTAGAGATTTTAAAGCATTTCAGTTGAATTTCACTAAGATCTAAGAACCAAGATGTATGAGACACCATTTTCCCCTCTTCCATTATTTCAACCACCAGAAATAACTTCCTTGGGCACTAAAGAAAAAAAAGTAAGAAGCCTGTTTAGTACATTTATCCTTTAAGCTAACTGATTTAAAAAGAAAAGAGGATAACTTATACTTTCAAGAATTAAAACCAAACCTAAAATGCCCTTGCGGCTCCATGTGGTCAGCTAGGCAGAAGCAATGGGAGGAATTTCTTGGAAGGACAGTCATCCCTTGGTACCCGGGACCTGTAGGGGGTTGGTCCCAGGGATCCCCCGCGGAGACCAAAATCTGGCTCAAGTCCCTCACGTACAACGGCCTAGTACAGTCAGCCCTTGCATGGGCGGGTTCGCATCTGTGGATACGGAGGCTGACTGCATCTTGAAAGGAGAGGGTAGGGTGAGCCCAGCGCTGGGGAAGAGCCCTGGACTGCATCCTGGCCTCCCCACTTGTGAAGGGGACCAGGCAGGGAACTGAGCATCTCCATGCCTCAACTTCCCCTTCTGTATAACGGAGGGGCAGTGAAGGGGCGGAGGGCTGCAAGTCGACTTTCTATATTGCCTTCGGGTCACTCTTATTACTCCCAGACCACCTACGCTCTCTCCACCTGAAACCCCCTTGGGCCACGTGTGTGCAGACTCACTCCTCACCTCCTTGACAGCTCCACGCAAAGCCACCAGCTTCGGGAAGCTCCCAACAGCAGGCCTGAATTAGTGCCTGCTCAGTTCTCTGGGTGGCTCTGTCTGCTGCTAGTTTTCTCTCTACCCCACACTCGTCCCACCCCAGGATGTGAGTTCCACAGGACACTGGGACTGATGTCCATGGCACCGGTGCTGCAGCCCTGAATGCTGCAGACAGCTGTCGGATGAAAGAATCGCTTACAAATTGGATTCACAAACTAACAAAGGCAAACTGAAGAAATACAAGCCCCTGGATGTCTGTGACACATGTCGCTGAGGCAGGACTCTGCCTTCCTGCCAAGCGGCCTCACGTGCAACTCACCAGAGGTTTGTTCCTCTCCTCGGTTAGCGCTTGCTTCTGCAGCCGAAATCTGTGCGTGCCGTTCTCGTAGCTTTTTGGATGCTGGGAGGAAAACAATGTAATTAGAGCAATTACCGAATCAATGGACAGAAATTACACCTAAACTCACTGCAGCAAGGACACGAAATATCTTCCTTCACAAAAATGCTATCAAGGGAAAATAAGACAAATGATTAAAACAAAACAAAGGCTAATCAGTTTAATCTCTAGGCTCCAGACCCTCCGATAACGGAGGGTGAAAATCAAATCCTTTCCTGAAGAATAATCCAAGACCGAGGAATAAAGAAACGTAAAACTGCCGATGAAGGCAACTTAACTCTCCTTAACGGCTCTGACATTTCTAAACGACTTTTCCTCTAACCAGTGAAAAACAGAGTCCCTTCCTACAACAGCAGATCGATTCAGAAGGAAGAAAACACCCTCCATATAGAAGGAGAGCATGGCTTGCCGGACAAGACAGAGCTCGACCGCTGGGGCCACGGGTGTGTGTGTGTGTGTGTGTGTGCGTGTGTCTGTACAATGAACGTATGTTTTAATTTCTCTTGGATATACCGAGGAGTGAAATTGCCGGGTCATAGGGTGACTCTATGCTTAACCTTTTGAGGAATTGCCAGACTGTTTTCCAAAGTGGTTGCGCCGTTTTAACAGCCCCGCCAGCAGTGCATGAGGGTTCCGGTTTATTATTATCTCTTTTTGATTCTAGCCATCTTAGTGGGTCTGAAGTGGTATCTCATTGTGATTTTGATTACACTTCCCCGATGGCCAATGATGCTAAACACCTTTTCATGTGCTTACTGGCCATTTATTTATCTTCTCTGGCAAAATGTCTCTTCAGATCCTTTGCCCCCTTTTAAACTAGCTTGTCTTTTTATTACCGAGTTCTAAGTGTTCTTTATGCATTCTAGATACAAGTCTTTCATCAGATATATGATTTGCACATATTGCCTCCCATTCTTTGGGTTGTATTTTCACTTTCTTGATGGTACCCTTTGAAGCATAAAAGTTTTAAATTCAGTGAAGTCCAATTTATCTATTTTTCCTTCCACCCCTTGTGCTTTTGGTGTCATATCTAAGAAGGCTTTGCTTAATCCAAGGTCATGAAGATGTCCTCCTATATTTTCTTCTAGGAGTTTTATAGTTTTAGCTCTCACATTTAGGTCTTTGATGCATTTAAATGTTGCGTACGCCGTGACAAACAGTTCCCAATTCACTCTTTGCCTGTGGATACCCAGCTGTCCCAGCACCACATGTTAAAAAGATTATCCTTTCCCCACTGAATGGTCCTAGCGCCTTGTCAAAAAACTGACCATAAGTATGAGGGTTTAATTTCTGAATTCAGTTCTATTCCATTGATCTGTATGTCTACCCTTACGATAGGAATACAGAGTCTTGAATACTGCAGCTTTGTAATAAGTTTTGAAATTGGGAACTTTGTTCTTTTTCAGGATTCCTTTGGCCTCTCTGGATTCCTTAAATTTTCATATGAAATCAAGGATCGGCTTGTCAATTTTGGGCAATACTGCCATCTTGACAGTATTAAATCTTCCTGTCAGTGAACACAGGGTGCCTGTTCGTTTATTTAGGTCTTCTTTAACTTCTTTCAACAATGTTTTGTATTTTGCAGTGTATCAGTCTTGTACTTCCTTGGTTAAATTTATTCCTGAGTATTTTATTCCTTTTGATGCTGCTGTTAATGAAGTTTTTTTATTTTCATTTTTGGATTGTTCATGGCTAATGTATAGAAATAGAATTGATTTTTATATACTGATCTTGTATCCTGCAACCTTGCTAATTTTTTAATTAGCTCGAATAGGTTTTTGGTGGATTCCTTGGGATTTTCTATATACAAGATCATGTCATCTGCAAAAAGAGACACATTTACTTCTTCTTGTCCAATCTGCATGTCTTTTATTTCACTTTCTTGCCTAATGCTCTGGCTAGAACCTCCTGTACAACGTTAAGTAGAAATGGTGAGAGCAGGTATCTTTTGTCTTGTGCCTGACGTTACGGGGAAAGCATCCAAGCTTTCACCATTAAGTATGACGTTAGCGGTGGCTTTTAATAGTCTTTATCTGGTTGAGGCAGTTCCTTTCTATTCCTAGTTTGTTGAGTGTTTCATTACAAAGGGGTGTTGGATTTTGTCGAATGCTTTTTCTGCTTCTACTGAAAGGACCCTATGGTTTTTGTCCTGTATTCTATTCGTGTGGAGTATTACATTAATTGATTTTCAGATGCTAAACCAACTATATATTCCTGGAATACATCCCATTTGATTGTGATATTTAATCCTTTTTATATGTTGCTGGATTCGTATTTTGTTGTGTTTTGCATGTACATTCATAAGAGAGCTTGGTCTCTAGTTTTCTTGTGATGTCTCCTTACGTTATCAGGATAATACCTCAGAGAGTGAATGGGGAGTGTTCTCCTATTTTTTGGAAGAGTTTGTGAATAGTTGGTGCTAATTTTTCTTTAAATGTCTGATAGAATTCACCAATGAAGCCATCTAGTCCTGGGATTTTCTTTGCAGTCAATTTTTAAATTAATAATTCAGTTTCTTTCCTTGTTATAGGTGTATTCAGATTTTCTATCTCTTGAGTCAGTTTTGGTAGTTTACATCTTTCTAGGAATTTTCCCATTTATTCTAAGTTATCTAACTTGTTACCATACACTTGTTCATAGTATTCCTTTATAATTCTTTTTCTTTCTGTGAAGTTGGCAGTAACGTCCCCTCTCTCATTCCAGAGATTGGTAATTTGAATCTTTTTTTCCTGGTCAGTCTAAAGGATTGTCAATTTTGTTGATCTTTTCGAAGAACAAATTTTGGCTTGTGGACAAAAAATGTGGTCTGCCGTTTCAGTAAACAAAGAATGTTGCTGCCACCAAGCTATCAGCCACTGCAGTCCCCACCTCAGCCCCTCCCAACTGTGTGCCCTGAGGGGAATTCAGGAAGGAGAGAAACTGGATACTGGCCCTAGATCCTTAAGATGCATATCTAAGGAATAATTTCAATGAGCCCAGACCCCTGCATCTTCCCGTACAGAGACAAGCAATAAAATCATTAACTTGAGATGTCTGTTTTTTGTGATTAACAGTAATCTTTCGATGTCTGACTACATGGCTTTTTTTCCAGCAAAAGCTCCCATATATCCTGGCTCCTACCTTACCTCTTTGGAACAGTTCCTCAGAGCTACGGAGAGGCTGTCTCCTGGGCTACAGTCCTCAGTAAGGTCCCTGAATAAACATTACTCACAACTTGTAGGTTGTGTGTTTTTTCAGTTGTCAGGCTTAATTGATTATCTCTATTTTTTTTTTTTTTTTATTTTTTTCTTTTTGTTTCTTGGTTTGCTTAATGGTTTATTAATTTTTTTTTTTTTTTTTTTTGCGGTACGTGGGCCTCTCACTGTTGTGGCCTCTCCCGTTGCAGAGCACAGGCTCTGGACGTGCAGGCTCAGTGGCCATGGCTCACGGGCCTAGCTGCTCCACGGCATGTGGGATCTTCCCGGACCGGGGCACGAACCCGTGTCCCCTGCATCGGCAGGCAGCCTCTCAACCACTGCGCCACCAGGGAAGCCCCAGTAATGTTTTTTGATGCTTGTTTGTTTTTAATAAAAGAGTCCTTAGAGTTTAGAAACATATACTGAAATAGTTGGAGACAAAATAATATGATTGGTATTTGCTTACAAAATAAATCATGAGGAGACGGAGGGAGTATTAGAAGGGGTACTGATGAAATAAGACTGGCAGGGTGATGGGCACATGCGGGTTCATGATACTATTCTTTTTACCTTTTTACGTGTTTTAAAATTTCCATAATGAAAACTTTAAAGAACTGGAAAGGAGAAGAACTTGATGCTGAAAATAACACTTTCAGATGAGAAATCCCCAGGACACGGCTCTACTTAGAAGTCAGCGCCTGTGAGATGTCTTGCAAGTGCATCCGGCTTTGCACAGAAGCTCTGCTTATGATAAGGGGGAGGTGCAAAGGGACAGAGCAGACAGAGAACCAGCCCAGCCTGCCCTCACTTCCCCAGGCCCTGGGGCCCCTCGAGAAGGCCCTGTGACACCGGTCTCTCCAGGGCCCCACAGGAAGTGAGGAGAGTTCCTGTGGGAAAGGGAACTTCGGGGCTGCGGCAGAAGCTGATGAAACGCCCCCAGAAATCAGTCCAATCTCTCCCTCTGACTGACCCCTGAGAGGAAGAAAGAGGAAGAGGAACCCCAGCTCCGTGGGCCACCCTGCCCCATGCACCCTGGGGAGGCTCAGTGAGCTGTCAGGGAGGATTCAGCGGGGGAAGATGACACAGCTTGGGCCCCAGGTCACACACACAAGTGCAGGAACGCCTCTAGCACAGGTATGCTTTCCCGTACGTCTGAAGCTGTGCACAAGGATGACTCCATACACACATGTGCACGTGCGCGCGCGCGCGCACACACACACACACACACACACACACACACACACAGAGCTGGCGGGCCTGGTGATGGATAGGCCACGGGGCTGATGGAAGGAGGAGTTGGGACGAGTCCTCTGGATCCAGCCTGTCCGACAGGCGGACAGCGGTTCTCTGACTGACACGGGGAATGCCAGGGGCCTAGCAAGTTTATGGGGTGAAATAAAGAGAACATTCTGGTCGTGCTAAGTCTGGGAAGACACCCAGAGGCCTCTGTGGGGATGTCGGGTGGGCAGTGTGTCCTATGACCACGGAGCTCAGGGCAGAGGACCATGCTGGGGACTGCACATCAACGCACACAGAGGTGCCGTGAGGATGCTGAAAGCCCCAGGCCCGCGCAGGATCTCCTACGGTGAGAGCAGGAACGAGGGGAGAAGGGGCCAAGGACCGGGCTGGGGGGCTCCCACGTTTGGGGGTCTGGCAGAGTAGGGCCAGCAAAGCGCTCTGCATGTTACCAGAGAAGCAGGAGAGCGTGTTACAAGCCCCCAAAGGGAGCATCTCATGGAGGCAGGAGACCACCGCATCGCACGCTGGTGACAGGTCAGGGGTGAGGCCAGAGCGCTGACCACATGCGGCCAGACCGTGCTGCTGGGGGCCCTGGCGGGTGGCTTTGGCAGAGCGGTGGAGGCCAGAGGACAGGAGGGGAGCCGGGAGAGGGAAGTCAGGGAGCACGACTCGGGGGGTCTACTCTAAGGTTAAGCAGGAAACCGGGTGCGAGGGCGACACCCCTGCTGGGAGCGACAGAGGAGAGAGGGCAAGCCGAAGGCCAGGGGCGGGGAGCTGGCCTGGGCAGCTCCCAGAGTTACAGTTACCTGGGGGTAGACAGAGACCTCTGCGGACGCCGGCGGGGCAAGCGCCCTTCCAGGGCCGCGAAGACGTCGCTCACCAGCTGGGCGTGAGCAGGTCAGGGGCGGTGAGCAGTGACAATGACCCAGGGAACGTGGTCCTGGTGCTGGGCGGTCCTAACGGGCCACCTGCCAGGTGTGGACGCCAGGTTCAAGTGACCTCAGCCAGCTTAGCTTTGCGTCAGCCTGTAGTCACACCCGCCCAGGAAAAGTATGATGTCCCCGCTCCTCGTGAGGCCCGGCCGGTCCCCAGCTCCCGGTTGCTCTCTGAGTCCCTAACCCAGACCGCACCAAGCTTCTCGTCTGGTTTTGGTTGTTATCATTATGATTAATCTTTTTCTAAAACTGCCCGTATTTTGAGGGCAGGACCTCTGTCCATACTTTGCTGCCCACTGACAGGACAGACAGGGCCAGGCTGGCGACAGTCATCATCACAGCACATTGAAGACACGAGAAGCAGGGAGCACGTCCTTACCATGGCCGGGGAGGAAGAGCAGGCGACGTCCTTCGGATCTGAAACACCAAACACGGAACAGGGTGAACCAGGGCTGGCTGCTTCCTCCGACACGAGAACGTAAACCAAAGCAAGGCACCCTCTGATGCTTTTACCACATTAGCAACAATTTCAGAAAAAAGACAATGCACGAGGCAGCACGTTTGGTGGGGTGAGGGCGCAGCTCAGCCACCCCCGCAAGAACCCACAAGCGCCCCTTCCCTCACTCGGGCCCCGTGACTGCCTGATCCCCACGCGCTGAAGCCGGGAGAGTACGAAACCAGCACCGACAAATGCAAATCGTCACGAATATGAAGGCTGCTTTACAATATGGAAAATAGTTTACAAATAAAAATAAACAGACCTTAAATACACTATGGTGACGAGCCGTGTAAGGTACATGTAAAGGACATAAGTACCAGAAGGAACTAGAAAAACATGACCAGCAGATCAGAGTAGCGGGGTTCTGAATAACGTTTGGGATGAGTCGTTTAATGTTATGGAATTAACTAGAAGGAAAATTAGCGGGCACAGAACATCTACCTTGAAATAGAACAAAATGCCTTTTACCTAAATGCAAGGAGGTGTGAAATAAAATTCACGTTTTATGGCAGGACAAGAAACATGTACACATCAAAATGCTTCTCTGCCCTTTGGCGTCCTCTGCCCCCGCACCGTGCACCATGTATCCACATGAGGCATCAACCAAACCTCCCCCACGAGCAGGAATACCTGTGCAGCCTAGAGGAGCAACATTCTCCCAGCATCCACAGGACAACTCCTTAAAGATAACATTCCTTACTGATCCTGTAAGGGACCACATGACCCACCACGATGCCACTTAGACCTGGATTATGTAAACTGTCAATAATCCCTCTGTCTCAAAAACCTTATATAACCGTGTCTTGACTTCTAATGGGCGGAACAGTCCTCAGAGCTTTCTGAGATGCTCTTCCTGGGTTACAATCCTCAAATTTGGCTTGAATAAAATGTCCCATTTTTTTCTTAGATCCACTGCTTAACTTTTTGTCGACAGAGGGAAGGACATGTGGAAGTGAACAGAACCAGAAGCGAGGCTTTTTTCATCTTCGTACTTTAAGATCACGCTGGTGTGACCCGGGAAGGAGAGCCGGGCTTAGGGCCACGAGTAGCCCTGGCAAGCAAACTCCACTCCTTGAGAATCTAGACAGCTGTCTTTTAACAGCTTTGCTCCTTCCCCATCACCCAGAACCCGGGTCTTCTTTTATAATTTTTGGTGAGACAGTTTAACCGCCCTGAAACACAAACTGAGCCACAGGGCTGTAAGCTTCCCACAGCGGCGTTCCCTCCCGCGAGATGCAGAGGGTGACACCGCGGAGGGGCCCCTGGACCACATGTGCTCCTGGGCTGGAGGCTCCTCCCCGCTGCCCTCTGTGGAGGGTGGGCCTGGGGAGCCCTGATGGTCCCGATGGCCCTGGGGGTGTGCAGGGACATCAGCAGTTCCCCAGCCCGTGGCTTTCCCCAGCTGTGCTGTGAGCCCCAGGGTCAGTCTCGATGGGGTGTGGCTGGTCCCCAGGACATCATGGCTTTTCCTGGGCTTTCACCCTGCAGGACATTAGTACCAGTGACCCTTGACTGGGACACATCTGAGGGCAGCTTCCCAGGCAGCCCTGGAGGGGCCTGTGGATGAGGTGCCCTGTCCCTTGGGCCCAGCCCCGGCAGGAAGGGGGAACAGGGCCGAGCCGGTCCCTAGCTGCTGGTCACGAGAAGGGGCGCTCCTGGGGCTTTCCCGCCCACCCTGCAGTAGGGGATTAGGGACCGGGAGGGAGCAGAAGTAAGCCACCGAGATGCACGTGGATCCGGTCTCTCCTCTCTGCAGTGTTCTGCCCTTGGACACAGGACTTGCTGGTCACTGCTTGCAGCTGGCTTTCATCATCACTCATACGGACACCACCTCCTTGTTACCAGGGGGAGTACAGGTACCAATCCTCTCAGCAGAGAGGGCCCGGCGGTCTGATTCTCGTTCCGCCGTGGAGGGTCTCTGTTAGAGCAACAGGCCTGTGCCTGCGGTGGACTCAGGCTGACAGGCGACGTCGGGCCCTGGAGGAGAGGCCTTGTTCACAAGGGCCCGGCTCGGGCTGCGCAAGGAGGAGTAAGGGTGTCCGAGCCTGCGAACCGGCTTCTCTCCGTTCGCTGAGCCACTCGTGGACACGGGGCCCTGGGTGCCGGGTCCCAGCGTGGGAGGGTTAGGGGGCCACAGAAACGCCTCCTCCCGTGAGGCCGGCTGCAGGAGCTGCCCCCAGAGGGAAGTGTGAGAGGCACGGTCGGCGGGCGTCCTGTCCAAGTCGTGTGCGCAGAGCAGTGCCTCCAGAGCCCGAGCTCAAGAGGAAGACGTTCAGCGAGAAGGAGGAGGAACGCCAAGTCCGGAAGGTGCCCCCGGCCGCACAAGCTGGGCCCTGGTGAGCTGGGTGGAGGCCAGGCAAGGAAAGCAGCAGCCGCGGGCAGTCGGACAAAGCCGGCCAGTCCCGGCGACAGGTGACCGGCCCACGGCGGAGAGAGCGAGGACCAGGTGACTGAGCGATGCTCGCGGGACACCAGACAGCCCTGCCCCAGCCATGGGGACAGCGGGAGGGAAGCGCAGGGGTGAGGGCAGGAAAGGAGGCCCAGTGGGAGGAAATCTTTGGCGGCCTCATGAAGAACGGGGGCACGGAACTCAACGGACGATCCTGCACAACCCTGACCATGTTTACCTTGGACACCTAACAGCTAAAGGCTAAGACTCCAGGTGAAAAGAACCAACACGGCCCAGGGGAATGCGATGGGCTGAGGGAGGAGGGGAGAACGGCTTCTGTGGCCCGGACTTCAGCCCACAGCGCGCTCCCGGCGGCCCGTGGCCCCCCAGGGCCCCGTCCGTCCTCAGTGCCCGCTGGGGCCGCCTCCGCACAGGTCAAGGAGGGGGCACGAGTGCTCATCTGTCCCGAGTCAGTACCAGTACATCTCCCAGGAACACCTTACGGGCCTGGGGGAAGCTGAGCGAGTGCATCTCATCCCAGAGTGGGCCGGGGCGGGGCGGGGGCGGGGTTGGGAGGGAGGGAGGCAGAGCCCCACGGTCACCATGGAAACAGGAGAGGGGGTGAGAGAATGGTCAGCGGTGGAAAGCAGCTCCAGGAGAGCCCCCCAGCCTCGCGCCCCCTTGGAAGCTACAGGAGCGGCGGCTCAGTGCGAGGATGCTCTCATTTTATTATAAACGACCAAACCAGGGCTTCCGTGTTCCTCGAAATCCTGCCCCGCCCAGGATGACTGAGCTGAATGGTGTTGGCGCTGAGAGCCCTGGCCGGGCCAGCAAACAAGTTCCCGTCCACTGCCATGCCCTCCGCTCCTTGTCACTCCGCCCCTTTCCCCAGAGCCGCCCCTTTATCAGTTGAGGAAGAGAATAAAAGCCACCGTGGACTCTCGACCTCGGGCCGAAGGCACGCAGGGGCGGGGGTGGGGGGTGTCCCTGCACTAACATAGAGGAAGCGCATCCTTGTCCAGGTGACAGTGTGGAAGCAGCCCCTGGAGAGTCCAGGTGACACGATGATCCTTCCTGGAACTCCGGTGACACACAAGCGACAGTTGGTGCCACAGGTCGGCATGTCGGCAATGAAGTCACAATACCCACCCTCCCCCCGCCCCCCGCGCCCCCATCTGTTTAACAATTCACTTGTTTGGGCCACTTCGAGATGTTGCTAAAAGCTTACTGGGCCCCTGGAGAAAACGGTGAAGATGGAAGCTGAGCAACCCCGTGCCCTCTGCTCACACCCAGGGGAGGGGGGCGTCTGATTCCTCATCTAACCTTGGCTTCCTTCTTCACTGACAGCACAACGCTGGCCTGAGAACCTCACGTGTGCTCCACTAAATGGCGGTTATTTTAAAAATGAAAAGGTTAGCATTAGCAACAAGCAAAAAGAGTGAGAGACTTCACAGCGCCTTAACCTTTTGGAAGATAAAACCGGCAACTCCGAACACAAAGCTGAAGCTACAGTTAGCGCTTCCCAGGGATGAGGTCATCTGACTCCGGAGCATCCCTACCTGGGAGCTGACAGTGGGAGCCATCTAGTGCCACACGATCTCATTTTGCTTTAAGACAAATCAAAGAGGCAAACGCGAAATACAACGCATCAGAATAGCTCGTGGGCTTAGAGCACCCTGACGCGAACCAGCTAAAGCAGTACCTGCTTCTCTATCACTAGTGTAATTGTTAGCAATGCTCGTCCTGCCGATTTCTATTCAAAAAATTAATTGAAAATTCAGTCAAAACAAAAGCCTGGGATTGAGTCTAGGATGGAACAAAGGCTTGGATTTTCTGGTACAACACTACCTAATTAAGGTATATGATCTTAAGTCATGTCATGGTTTGAAAACATTGACAAGGCTATATCTTATCAGAAGGCAAACAAGCTGGTGAGGCCCATTTCAGTTTGTGGCAGCAGGACTGGCGTGAGCAGGTGCAGCCACGTGGGCTGGGCAGCGAGCAGCGTGGCAGAAGACCACGCATGCCCAGTGCCGTGGGGCCAGAGGACAGGGCGGGAGGAGTGTCAACACTGGTTACTCCAGAAATCAGGAAACAGCAGAAAATCCAGCAAGACCAGGAGAGCAACGGCTCATCAGGGAAGCCTATACCTAAGAAGGAAGTCTTCCTGGCAAAAGGAGAGCCGGACAACCCCATCCCCGCCTGGGATGAAGCAGTAGCAGCCTCTTCTCCTAAACTCGCCGCACCCCCCGCAACCCCGCAGAGCCCTCCCGGGGAGAGGTCATCACCCACCGGTACTTACGTTCAATGAGAAAGAGAAAGCACACTATCCCCATGGCTGCCACGATGGCCCCAGGCACGACGAAGGACAGGCCCCAGCACGTGGACACCCAGTAGCCAGCGATCAAGGACCCCAGAATGTTGCCCACAGACGTGTGGGAATTCCAGACCCCCATGATCAAACCTCGCCTGCAACACAGCAAAACACAAGGGGGCAGATGATGTCTCGGGGCTTACACGGATCAGTACGTGAGGTTACAACAGTGCCTGCACAGCGTAAGAGCTGGTGGAGAAGTAAACAGGCAGTGCGACACACCACCCCTGCAAGGCTTGGGACCAGGGGCGTTTACAGGAGGACAGTATCTTCACTTACCTCCGGCTGCATAATTACATGTCTCTGAGCTTATTCATTCTATGGCTAAAAGAAGAAAGAGGCCTTTTCCTAGAATTCTTGGAAGGCCCCAAATTTAAATTTGTGCCTTTGCAATCTAAATACGATCATTTGATGAAATACCCCATTAACCAAAGTTCACGTTGAAGAACCTGCCAGATGAACGAGGCTAAGTAAGGCTGGAGGAGTGAGTTTCCTGCTTTAGTTTTTCCCCATCTTGTCCTGCATCTTCGACCACTTCCTAACTGTGGGCCCGGCCGTGCTGCCTGTCACACAGACGTTACGATGGAATCTGACCGCAGTGAGGTCACCGGAGGCTGGGTACAGCTCTGCTACCGGGCCCTGGGTGACCTGGACAGGTCACACTTCCCTGTGCCTTTCAGTCCTGTGAAAATGTAGCTTCTGCTTCGAAAGGCCTGGGGCAAGGCCCTGACTGCATTTCTCCCAGCTTCCCAGGAGGCCAGGTGAGGCCCGGGCTGCTGGCTGGCTGCGCAGATGACCCAGACTCCACCCTGCCCGCAACGGGGGTGGCATCTCCTGAAACAGAGGCCTGCCTGAATTTTAGACCCTCAAGACCCAGAGGTTTCAGTCATCTTATTTCATATAGTAGACTGACGTGTTTTTTTCTGTAATGAATCTAAAGAAAAACTAAACAGAAAGCGGTCTGGTTTTCATCAGAATCTTCTGAAAATCAACGCTGCTGGAAGCAGGGCTGCTTCCTTACCTCCCTTTTCCAAACCAGTTGCCGAGGCAGGTGACGACGCTGGGCCAGCCGGTGGTCTGTACCAGTCCGTTGACGATCTGTGACAGAGGGCAAAGGAAGAGCCCGCTGAGGGGGGACACCCACACCCGGGAGCCTGGCCTCAGGGGTTTGGGCACCCAGCGGGGACTCTCACAAAAGGAAGGGGCAGAACGCGATTCGATGTGAGCCTCGACAGCCAGACGTGTATTTTAACAATATACGCGTATATCTTACCACGAGAGTCGTACGTGCCTATTGTGAAAATTTTAAAGCAGAGGAAAAAAAAAGAAAAGAAAATCTCTTGCTCGGGGATGAACTACCTCAACAGCTTGGGGCCGAGCTGTCCGTTCTCTTTCCAAGCTAAAACTTTATGCAAAGAGAAAACCCTCTCCTTTTTATAGAACTGTGATGATACCATAAGGGTGGCTTGTAAATTGCACGTTTTCCCTTCTTATATCACGAAGAAGGTACTGTTGCTAACCACCGAAGGGAGCAGAACCTTGACTAGTGCCTAGAGAAATGATTTCTCCAACTTGCCAAGAGCGCCCCGAGCTTTTGTTTGAAGAAGGGATTTAGGAAGTGTATCAGCAACTGGCTCTGCTTTAGTCTCAGGGGCCACCTCCTCCAACTGCCGCGGGGAAGGACCAGCTTCCAGAGGCCGACTGGGAGCCCCTGGTCTGGCCTCAGGGCCAGCCAGCTCAGCCTTCCCTCCAGGAACGTGCTGGGACTCTGGGAAATAGGTTTTTTCCTTCTCTCTGATTTTCTGTATCACCATAAAGTGGGCATCGCTTTGGTAATGAAAAGAGCCAAACTCTTTCAGGTCCTATGGTGAAAATTTTAAAAGCAAATTACATACGATTTGCCCTGATGACCTTGCCACATCTCCCTGGGCTGTGTCTGGAGAGCCTCGGAAGCTGAGCATCATTGTTTCAAGTCATTTTCCATTTCTAGCCAATATTATCCACAGGGCTGTGGGGAGGGGCAGATCCAAGAGGTCCTGGAAGCACTGAGCCCCGCGGGAAGGGCTGGCCCTCACTCCCCTGCAGCACCCTTAGGCCCTCGCCTTTCCCCCGCCCCCTCCACCCCCCGCCCCCCCGCTGACTGCCCCTGACAATCCCCAAGTCCCCTCAACCTCCTCCCCTCACCACGCCCCTCATCCCCCCAACCCCAGAGCGGTCAAGTCTGACACAAGACAGAACATCTCAAATGCACCTAAATTAAGGCAGAAGGACTCAGAAGGGCTTCATGCCTCAAGCCCCCTGCTGGGGTACCGAAAAATAGGATTCTTTAGGCGGCAACTCCTGAAACTAAGAAACACTTCACGGCTGCTGGAATTTCAGAGCAGAGGAGAGAAAAGGGGCTGGATGTGCCAGCGCTGACCCTGACCTCAGCCAGGACGCAGTTCTGCGCCCACTCCCACCACCTGCCATGTTCTCTCCTGGCAGAGCCTGGGACCCGTGACATTAACACCCCGTCTGGCTCATCATGGAAATCCCATACATGGTGAGCCGTGGACCAGACCTTACCTGGGTCACCACGTAGAATCCAAAACTGTGGATGTTGTAGAAATACCCTACCCCAAACAGGGCAGTAAAAGCACCACTGGCCACCATTCCGAAAGTCAGGTAATACCTAATGGGCAGGCGCTCCCCTATTATGCCACTGGGGACAGAGAAAAAAGAAAGACAAATGTGAGAAAACAAACACACCCATAATGTAAATGACCCAGCGATTCCTTGCTGGATGCTTTCACGCTCTGAGCTTTTAGAACTTGAAGGCACTCCGATTTCCAGTAAATTTTAATCACAATCATTTTTCAATGGAGCATTTATTAACCAGAAACTGGCAACACCTTTTAAGACTTTCTATTTCTAACAAAAGTCACTGTCAAGGGCTTCCCTGGTGGCGCAGCGGTTGAGAGTCCGCCTGCCGATGCAGGGGACACGGGTTCGTGCCCCGGTCCGGGAAGATCCCACATGCCGCGGAGCGGCTGGGCCCGTGAGCCATGGCCGCTGAGCCTGTGCGTCCGGAGCCTGTGCTCCGCAGCGGGAGAGGCCACAACAGTGAGAGGCCCGCGTACCGCAAGAAACAAAAAAAACCAAAACCAAAACAAAACAAAACAAAAAAGTCACTGTCAAATAATAAAACTGAAACACTCTGACATATGTGATACCTGCCAATTAAAAAAACAAAACCAAAACCTTGTCCTGCTGGCTAATCCTGTTTTATATAAACAACAGCCAGTGAACGTATAGAGTATTTTTAAGATTTCAAGTGTCGAACTGTAGACAAATACGAAAAGGGGTCACCTGTGACCTTGAGCACGTCTCTTGGCCCCCGGGCTGGCATTTAGCCGCTGCATCAGTGGCCAGGCCAGAGGCGCTCTTGCCAACGACCCTCTGGCCACAAGCACCGTGATCTGGTTTAAGGACAGAGGCTTTTCCTTAAGGTAAAGTCTGAAACGTGGGGCAAAGCCTCCATGCTCCCTTTGAACAGCAACGTGACGCCATGAAGAGCTAGTCTCTCTGGAGAACTGCTTCCTAGAGCTGCCTGGGTGCTCAAACGAGATACATTGGGTTAAGTGCCTGGCAAGGTAGTGGGTGCTCAATCAAACAGCTCCAGTGCTGCCGGGGAGGGTGAAAATCTCCAGTTTCATACTGGGACATACATTCAACAGGCCTTTACCACCATCACACCTCACTACCCAATGCCATATGAAATACGTTCTTTACTGCCTTGTAGGACATGTCACTATGGAACAGCTTGACACTGTGACTTCTTAAGTGAATAAAGAGCTGGAGAACAATCACAAATGACTGTGAGCCTTTTGCAATCTTTACATACACTCTGTGGGTCTCGTTTTCTTCCCGGTAATCAGTCTAGGAGTCAGATAAATATGAAACGTAATGAAGGATGACGCCTGCCTGCCTGCCTGTGAACAGTACCCTGGGAACCAGCTCCAAAATTCTGGTCTTTCATCTCAAGAACAAATACCCCAGAGAGATCTTCCTTCAGAATTTACCAAAGAAAAAAAAAAGATCAACCTAGTATCACACAGATGACCTATTAAACACTAAAGCAGAGGAAGTAATTTAAAATTGTAAACAGCATTCAGGTCAAATTTTAAGCTGAGTAGAAACTGATCACATACAAACTCGAGAGCATTCGAGAGCTAAAGGAATTATCCACTTCATCCTGCTCACTTCAGAGAAGAGGGAACATGTCCCAGAGGAGCTGGCTGACCTGCCCAAGGTCACAGAGTAGGTGCCAGAGTTAGATGGGCCTCCTGCAAGCTAGTGCCATCGGCCGGGGCTTACAAACGTCCTCTAGTCTTGCTAGACCATACTGGGACTCAATTTGGTCTCTATTTTAAAGTTTTAAAGAAAAGGCCTAAGGGAATGGACAGCATTCCACGTCGTATCAGGCTCCTACAGGTAACAAAGGCCACGCCACACCTGCTTGAACCTGCCAGCAATGACCTGGGTTAGCGAAGGTGCCACCACGTCTGAGTTATCTGGTACACTAACACCATCCATCTCACTAGCAATGTCATGATGTCACTAAGAAGCCATGCGAGGAAGCATGCAAGGAAGCAGGGTACACCCTCATCCCCGTCGCGAGTCCACTGTGGGTTTCACATTAGGTTATTATGAAAATACATAATGCTATTTCACAATAAAATAAAATTATTTAATAAGAACCTTCGTTGGCGAGTTGCATGAAGAACGATCTTTGCCAATAAATAAGCAATAATGAAACCACTTTATTCAAACCAGGTTTCTTAGCCTCAGCACCCTCAGCATGTTGGGCCGGGTAATTCTTTGTGGCGAGGGGCTGGCTGTCTTGTGTCCTGTAGCACACTTAGCGGCACCCCCGGTCTCTGCCCACTAGATGCCAGTAGCACCCCCTTCTCCAGCTGAGACGACCAAAACTATCTCCAGATATTGCTAAATGCTTCCTAGCAGACAACATCACTCCCCGCTGAGAACCACCTTTAACTAGTGTTTTCTAGTAACTGAGAAAAACACACTCCAACCTTGGGGTCTTTTTATATTATTGATTATTGGTGTCCAGTAACACTGCGGTTTTTAGAACATAAATACTTGACCGCAGGATGGAATACGGCTGGCAGCCCGGCTGCAGCCCACGCCCTGAGGCGCCTGAGGTCCCGTTCCGTGCTGCATCCGTATTATTCATTCCGCACTCGGACAAGCCCTGCAGCTCCATGCAGATGTGCAAGTTCAACAAAGGGGTGACAGCCACTCCATCAGCAGGAACCACCTGTCTGGGTACCAGACACCAGACGGTCCTGAGCTGGGGAGGGGGTCCAGGTCTCGGTGATAACACAGTCTGGGTGGATCTCAGGGAAGAAGGTAAACGTTTACAGGGATTCCAGAGATTCCCAAAGCTCTGAAACTCTGTGTCTCTGAACAAAGCCCTCTTTAGACTAAAGGCCTTAGTCCCTGTAAGTTTTGTTTTGTTTTTCCTGTTAAACCTGGCTGGACTGACACAGTAGCAGTTTTTAACCGGCCAACTGCATGTCCTGTTATTACCCACTAATGTTTACCACCTCCCTAGGCCAATTCAGAGCTGGATCAAGAATGGGTTAACGGGGCTTCCCTGGTGGCGCAGTGGTTGAGAGTCCGCCTGCCGATGCAGGGGACACGGGTTCGTGCCCCGGTCCGGGAAGATCCCACATGCCGCGGAGCGGCTGGGCCCGTGAGCCATGGCCACTGAGCCTGCGCGTCCGGAGCCTGTGCCCCGCAACGGGAGAGGCCACAACAGTGAGAGGCCCGCGTACCGCAAAAAAAAAAAAAAAAAAAGAATGGGCTAACGATCGTATGTAACAGGCACTGGGAACACAGCACGGGCCAGGCCCTGTTCTGAGCATTCTGCACATATTAACTCAGTTAAACCTCACCACACTCCTGTGAGTTAAGAACTACTGTTTCCCCCATTTTGCGAAGGGGAAACTGAGGCCCAAGGAGGTGCGGTAACTCGTCCAAAGCCACCCAAGCGGGCCGTCAAGCCGGGATCGAATCCCAGCAACGTGCCTCTGGGGTCCACACCTCCCACCGCCAGGCAGGACGGCCTCTGGCACTCAGGGGAGGCTGTTCCGGCCTAGTGGGCCATCCAGGTGGACACGCCAAGCACCCGCTGTGTGAACTGCTCTGATACCAGGCGGGGTTAGGAAAGAGACGGCGGCCCCTGAAACCAGAGGAGGCTCTGCCATGCTCACCGGGTGGGGAGCTGCCAGGGCCCTGCTCCTGAGAGACCGGGTCCCGGCAGGGCTCACGGTGCATCCAACCCCGGGGCCAGGAAAGCCGTCCGAAGACAGTCTGCCCGATCTGCAGGACACCCGGGCCGTGTGGTGGCTTCCACCTCACACTTGTCTCTGAGGAGAGACCGGAGGACCAGCCACCTGCGGGCGGGGCCGCGTCTTCAGCCGTACCTGAGCTGCGCTCTGCACCCAGCGGACCACCTGGGTCTTGCAGTCTTAGCCAGACCTACCTCAGGTACATGCCAACAGCGTACGCACACAGGAAGGAGTAGTCCAGGGCGCCGAGCAGCTGCTGGAAGTTGTCCTGATCTACGTGGGGCAAAAAGCAACAGGAAAAGGAGGGTATTGTTTACTTTTCACTAAACACCAATTTACGTCCGGGAGAGGTACAATGACGTACGAGACCTCTGCTCTCTACGTCTGGGCGGCGTCCTCAGAAGGGAACACAGAAAATACAGCAACTGGAAATCAAGTCACCATGTTTCCAATAATCGCTACATAAACGTTACTCCCATCAGGTCAAATCCCCATTGCTGGCGGTGAGCTTGTGGGTTCTGTTCTGTTTCACATGTTACCCCGGCTTTGGTTCGGGCCCCCCAGGACAGCCCCACACCACAGCTCTGAGATTGCTCTCTTCTCTCCACCCACAGCTTACGCTCTGTAAGTCCTAACTTCCAGCTTGGACAAATGCAACCTGCAGATGACCTGCAGCAGATCTGACCACTGAGCGACACCCCTGCACACGCGCACGGGAAACGTGCAGCAGCTGAAGGTGCGAGGCTGGTTTGCTGGGAGGAGAGGTTAGTTTGCACCTGGAGGCGCAGCTGCATCTGACAGCATCATCACCACTGCTGAGATCAGCCAGCCAGCTCGGGGACTGCCACCTGTGGAGGAGGCCCGCAGGGATGGCCAGCTTCAGCCACGGGACGAAAGCAAGGGCACAGACGGAGAACTCACCAAATGGGGCCCAGCCACAGTCGGTCCCGTTGTCTGGGAGCTGCTGAGCGGGGGTGTCCCCGGCTTTTGGGCTCTGGCTGTGGAATCCGACCTCCCCTTCATATGAAGCCGTGCAGTAGCTGTGCAGCTCACCCTGGGACATCCATGGGGAGGACAGAAGGCAGAGAGAGAGAGAGAGAGTGCACTCAGGTGGGGCTCAGCCACCCCTCTCCTTACAGCTGTCCTAGGGTGACTGCGTTCTAGGGGGATACGGCACCTCTGGGGCGGTGTGTCTAGGGGACCCACTGAGTGCCTGCCAATGAGGACGGTTCCTCCAGCTCCCTAGCGGCCGTCTCCTCCTGAGCACAGACACAGCCGACACAGCCTGTACCGGGCCACCCAGAGACGACTGCTCAGAGCAGCCGGGCAGCATGGGGGCCCACCTGCCCAGAACGGAAGAATGGATTCATCCTGCTGGATTGATATCACTGACTACAAGTTACAGGTCCACACAAGGACGAGGATGAATCTCGAAACAAAATAAGCCTGACACAAAGGAGCACAAATGGGAGGACTCTATTTACGAAGCTCCGGAGGAGGGAAATGAATAAGTCCAGGTGACATTCATCACCTAGGGAAGGGCAACAGTGACGGGGACCAGACCTTAACCTGGGTGATTTCCCGGGTGAGCGTGTAAATATTTGCTAGGCTAGACACCGCAGATCTGTGCACTTCACTATGTGCAAATCACATGTCAACCCCCCACCCCCCGCCCAAAACTAGCTCAAGGTGCTCCTTAAGGAGGCATCCACACTTCCAGAAAAGTGCTGCAGGGCAGCCGGGGCCGTCCTGTTATGGGGACCTGAGTAACAGGTGACTTGTTCCTTAAAACACAAGGGGCAGCAGACAGGACTCCATGCGCCTGCGGTGCCACCACATGTCCCCTCCCAGGTGGCCCCCGGCTCCCACTTCTCCCTTGCTGTGTGCTTTCTGGGGTTTCCGCTACACGGGGCTCAGATGAACCAATCCATCAGGTGTGAGCGAGGGCAGAAAGGAGGCGTCCTCAAGGTCAAGGAGGTGGCCCTCAGGGGGAGCAGAGGTCCTGAAGGGGCGTCCTTTAGTGAGCTGTGACCTGAGAGAGGCTGGGCCTGGGGGGCTGTGAGGAAGCCGGGCCCCAGAAGGAGCATCTACCCCGGGGTCAAGACACAGGGCAGCGGGCAGGGAGCTGCACCCCAGCCCACCAGGTGCGGGGGGCAGCCAGGAGGCCTGTCCACCACCTTCGCTTTGTGGGTACCCCGCCTCTTCAGGAGGGGTCACTAAAGAGGCTGATCTCCTTTAAAAGGCCACCTTGCTAGGGCTGTGGTCAGCCACGGTGGGACACCTGATTTTACACGGACACATGCCCCCGAGACCTGGCCTGGCACACGGGACCCAGCCACTCTGGTTACATGGCTTTGTAATCATCGCTGGGCTGCTCTGCTGTAATTTAAACACAAGGTTCCGCTAAAACTAGCCAAGGTTCCGCTTTCCAAACTCAAAGTAACACTTTGCAGACAGCTTTCCTCAGCCGAGCTCCCACTCCCCGGTGGTGGAGGCCGGGTGCTGTCATCCTGGGATCCTCGGAGCCCCTTCCCTGCCCGCCTGAGAAACTGTGGACGTGGCTGTGAATTTGGGACGGGGACACAGGGGAGCCCTGCCTCTCTGCATAAAGCTGGATTGTCAGCACTTCCCCACCCGCCTGATGTGATCATTTCCTTCTCCTCTTTGCCTTCAGAAGTCAGGTGTGTCCGCCCACCTTTCTCTGCTGCTTCTCTTGGAAGCCAGCCGGGCCTGCAGGCACCACTGATGCTGTCTATTCACCTTTCAATAAGGGAGCCACAGGCAGGATGCAAGGACCCCCATGGGCTGAGGGGGACCCTCGAGCGGGGCTGGCGTGGGGTTCCTAACACACGCCTTACATGGAAGCCCGGGAAGAGGACCGTGATGGACGTGGCTCCCACTGGCAGGTCCACATCCTCCTTCACCATGCACGGGGGATATAAAGGATTAGAAATCATCCCTTTTCGTTTCATTAACAAGCAGAAGAGGTTTTCTGTTTTGGTTTGTCCCGGGATGAGAGGTGCCGGTCACGGAGACGGGCTCCGAGCCGGGATCCTGGTGCAGCTGTCCCGTTTTCCAACCTCGGCCGACTCACGGGGACTCCCCACGGCCTCTTAAGAAGCCGGCACAGCGCGGCCCGTCGGCGCTGCTGTAAAGACGAGCATGTGGAGGTGTGTGCAGAGAGCTCCTCTCCGGGTCCCTCGCCCAGAAAGGCTCAGCGACTGGCAGCTGTGTGTTTGGGGTCCACCCACACAGGGGCACCCCAGGGCCTCCAGCTGGCCCTAATCTCATTCAGCTCCCTTCTCTCCCCAGCCCTCCTCCTTCATATGAGAAATGCAATCTCTAGCCCACCCCGCTGAGAAGCTGAAGCAAAAGCAATAAAAGGCTTGACATTACTTGAGCATAAAGAGTTCTGAGGATATTAAATGACCACGTGTTAGCCTTCAGTAAGACGCTGCCATATTTTAACTTTCCAATGAGTTTCATTCCCCAAACCTGGTGTTTGCAGGAAAATGAAGGATTAACGAAACTAAGATAAACTTAGTTTGTCAGAAAGAAAACTCACCAGGTGAACTGATTCTTACCAGGTTATAAAATCATTTTGGGGGTGGGGAGCTAGTCCTTTGCTTTCATAAAAGCAGTCTCCTTTGCAAATTTCTTACACATGTGCCTTTCAACAGATAACACATAAAATTAATCAGAATACACCAGGCAGTGATTAAAAGTCGATCATTCAAAAGACAATGTGGCAGCCGAGAAATACGGCTGTGAAACGCCAAGGGGGAAGAGCAGAATGGAACATTCCAGGTGCATGGGGCTCATAAGTGTTTAGAAATGTCTGTGTAATACACAAAGGAACGGCAACAACACAATAAACCGCAAGACGCCATTGTGACTGGAAGGTGGGTGGGGGGGGTGGACGGGTGGGGAGTGAGAGAAGACAGGTGTGGACATGATGGAAGGATGCAGAAAACAGCCATGATGTCACGAAGCACCATGTGGGGGGCAGGGGCAGAGACACGGGGGTGTGCACTTGCCTCCCACCTACAGATTCCCCTCTCTAGCGCCCTCCACCCCCAGCACTGGGCAGCTGGAGCTGCAGCAGACATGTTCCCCATAAGCTCCACACACACCGGCCCGTGCAGTCACTTAGGCACCAATGTATGTATATAAATGTACATTAATGAAGACTCTACGCGCTAAACTCTGAACTTGAGCAGCTTCACCCTGAGAAACTCTTGATGCGCTCATTCATTCCAAAAACATGGGCTCTTCGGTTCTCTGGCCAAGGCTACAGCGAGCTGCTCATTGCCTGTGGGAGTGGGGAAGGGGTCCAGAAGATGCTGAGAGGGGCAGGAGACTGAGAGCCGGGGATTCGGGCCTCATCAGGAGGAGGGGGGTTGCGTCAGCTTCACTTCACCTCTGAACGACACACGGAGTGTCCTGTGTGTGCACGTACGTGCACGCGTGTGTCCATGTGAGTGTGTACATAATCTATACAGAGTGTATATGTTTAGTAAATTTTCTAGGGTTCATTAGGTTGTGTGGGTCCATTTATTTTAACTAGTCCTTTAGACTCCTTTTATAAAGCTCTCGGTTAAAAGGACTCTCCACAGCATTATGCAAAAGAAGTCCTAGAAGCGAAATGAAAGCTCTGGTGCCTGCTATGCTCTGAATGCTGGTGTTCCCACCAAATTCACGTGTTGAAACCTAACCCCTGGGTGACGGTACTAGGAGGTAGGGCCTTTAGCAGGTGATTAGTTCATGAGGGTGGAGCCCTCATAAATGGGATTAGTGCTCTTTTAAACGGACCCCAGAGACCTCCTCAACCTTCCACCAAGTGAAGCTACAGGGAAGCGGCCGTCTGCAAGCTGGAAGAGGGCCCTCACCAGAAACTGACCGCGCTGCACCCACCCTGATCTGGGACGTCCAGCCTTCAGAACTGTGAGCAACAAATGTCTGCTGGCTACAGCCACCCAGTCGATGGTATTCTGTTACAGCAGCAAGAGTGGATGAGACAGCGCTCAAAACAGGAAGAACAGACAACCTGGGCCCCAGCACCCAGGAGGTGGTCAGTGCACAGGAGCCACGTGAAAATGGACCAGACACACACACCTGCATATGCAAAGGTACACCCACTCACAAAGGTGTACAGAAATACATAGGGAAGCTTTTGGGTCACTGTCTTTTTTTTTTTAAATGGGATCATTCTACACGGACTTATGTCCACCTTGACTCTTCTGACTCAAAAATACCTGCTGGGAATCTTTCTGAGTCAACTGGTTTGGCTCCAATTAATTCTTTTGAGTAGGTGCACATATCAGAATATGGATGCGCCATAATTTATTCAAACTTTCAGCTGCTGATTAAGTTCACATAATAGCCAGGTTTTTGTGGGGTTTTTTTCCTTTAAAAAAAAGTTGCAGACAATGCTACAAAAAAGATGCAAATACTCCTAAGGGCTGGCGCTTTCATTCTTATGGACAAGGTTCCCAGACGCAGGACTGAAGGACGAGCATTTTTAATGTCAACAGGTGTTGCCCAGATGCTTTCCAAAAGGCCGTAACACTTCACATCTCTATCGCCCGTACCTGAAAGTCTTCTCCCGCCATCACGGCCAGCAACAGGGGCTATTACTCTTTTAGATGTTTTGCCACTTTGTGGGTATAAAGTGGTATATCCCTATATCCCTTGTCTGTGAACTGCCTCTTCACCCCCTCCGTCCGTCATTCCTTTGGATTTCCCAACCTCATACCCCTAAGAGGGACATCATCTTGTTCTTGGATTTTTACATTTAAATCTTTAACCCATCCATCTATTCTTTATAAGATAGGGGTTCAGCTTTATTTCTTCCAGATGAATCTGCAGTTGTGCCAACACCATTTATTAGATGAACTACACTTTTCCCATCACCTCTGTCAGCCATTCTACTGTATGTTTCCACAGTATTTTCTATATTTTTCTACTGGCCTCTTTGTCTATCCTCATGCAATACCATAATAATTGGATTATAGTGGCTTAAAAAATGTTCCCTTTTCCACACTTCCCTTGGTAATTAATTCTTGGTCATTCTTTTCACATAAACTCTAAGACTATTTTATTCAGTTAAAAAAGACATTGCTGAGATTTTCATTGGAGTTGTGTCCTACTTAAATACGAATACTGGGAACGGTAGAACTTTCCAGATAGCAAGTTTCCCACCCAAAGCCAAGGTGCGCACTTCCAGCCTTTCAGGCTTTGTTTTCTGTCCGCCACTGAGGATTTCACGGCTTTCTTTTCCTGGGTCCCGTGTGTGCAGAGAGGGCTGGACATTCACACTCAGACCGATCAATGTGATGGCTCCCCTCGGGGACCTTGGATCCCCTGCAGCTCAGGCTCTCCCCAAGAACCCTCTGCTTTCAGGCTTTTGTTCTGGCCCAGCCCGGGGGTGGGGGGCCAGGGAAGAGCCCCCCAGAGTGTCCCTCGGGCAGTGTGCAGGCCCCACCTGTCCATCGGCCTCCAGTTAAGAGGCAGGGCTAGCACGGGAGCAGCTCTCAGAAGACAGCGGGGTTGTAACCCCACCTCCTCCCAGCCCTGCTTTCATCACTATCACTTATTTTTCCTTTTTGCCATATACTAAAATCAGAGAAAAATGAAAGGTTTCATCAGTGGTTAAACTAAGTCTAAACAGAGTAGCCTCATGCCACCACGACATGTCACGTCCCTGTAAGTGACATTAAAGAATATGAATCATTTTATGATTCATCACCCCTGGTGATCAATTCCAGGTACGCAAATATATATTTTAATTTTGTTTTGCTCATAATGTGCTAATAAATATAGGTTATAGATAATTCAGGCTGTTCCTTGGGTCAACAGCACCATTACTACTTCTAGTTTTATAAATAAGATGAGCTAAATAAAGCACATTTAGCTAAATAAAGGCATTGCAAAGTAAGTTATCGTATGTAGTGTGACATCTTATCTATCTCAGAAGGCAAAGAATCCCCGGGGTTCTGCGTTAGGCCAATCCACACATCCAGGCACGTCTAAGGTGCTGAGTCAGACAATCTGCGTGTTGAAGAAAATCTGGGCGTGATGCAGCTTCTTACACCTGCCCTAGAGACCCTGTGGCAGGCAGGGTAAGGGCAGGGACCCTGGAGTCAGCCCGACCCCGTGGAATTCCCCTGAGGTGGCCCTGGCCTGCACAGAGGAATTAGGCTTCTGAGACTCAGTTTCCTCAAAAGGACACCCACAGGACTGCCGTGACGATGAGATTAAATAAGGGAGGCGCGCACCTTGTCAGGCGCGGGGTCAGCCAGTGGCAGTCACCGTGACTGATGAAAACTTAACTAAGAGCCGGACCCCTCATCACTAAGCCCCAAGCCCCCGACGGGGAAGCCGCGAGAGTGGCCTGGAACAATGCCGCATCCCTTCCTGGCTAAATGGGGACCCTCGTGGCCACCAGAAGGAGACCCTCCAGTGGCCAGCCCCCCTCAGCATGCTGCCTCGGTCCCAACACGGGCCCCGCGCCTGTCAGGCTGCTGCTGCACCGCGACGCCCCCAGCAGGCCAGGACAGGCCCCAGGATCCTCGCCCGGCCTTGCAGGATCCATCGGAGCCGCAGGAAGGCTCCCGACCCCGCTGGCTCCTTCAGTTCTAGGCACTCTCTAAGGTCCCTTCCACGGTCTCTTCCCTTTTCATAACTTGCCTTTCTCTTGAGCCATATGTGTATTTCCCTAACCAGGAAGACAGGAATTAGTAGTATTTAAGTTGACAGGGGCGGGTAGGTCCTTGGTACTGATATTAGAGACACTGGTCAAGTGGATGACGGCCCACCCTCTCCTGTCCCATCCTTTTCTCTGTTTTGAAAACTGCATTATAAAAGGTCTGCAAAGACTGCCATAGTTATTCAAACTTCGTACATTAAAAAAGGGAGAAGTTTGCAAGCGACCTGAAGGGCCGGGGAAATTCCTGCTTACTAGGGGTCAAGGAGGAATTTTAGGATCCTTGGAGTAGATGGATGATGTTTCACGCCCACTGGGAGTTGCTGGAGACCAGGGAACACAGAACCGTCCAGAGAAGCAACAGCCTCGGCACTGCCTCTGCCACCGGCCGGGAGCCCGAGGGGACAGCTGTCCAGCAGTCGGCCCCTCCTCCCCCCGACCCGGGGAGCAGAGGAGGCAGGACTACAAAGGTCAGTGGAATCACAGTCCTGGACCTGCGTCCCGGCCAATGAGGAGAAAGTGACGGAGGGGCAGTCGGGCTGTAAATGAACTACCTTTGGCCCTGGACGATTTCCTCGTCCCTTCTATAATAAAGGCTCAGCAGCCATTCAAGCCAGCTGACAGTCTGCAGGCAAAAGGATGTCATTCCAGTGAGGGTAAGAAAACGACTCTGCTTTTTCCCAGGTTACAACTGGCTACTACGTAGGTCTGTCTCCTTTAATCTTCTTTTCCCCAAGTCGAGTTAAATGCCTGCTTAATGACTTCCTGCCCACCCACTCACACAGGAACTCGGTGTTCTAGGAATAATGGAGAAACACCACCACTGCCAGACTTAGGATCAAAGCCTAATGACCGTAGAAGCAATTTGGGGAACATTTTTAGACTGGATCTATTCGGGGGGAAAGTTCACACGAGACAGAACAGATACTTAATTAAGCTTTAGAATTCTGCGACTGTCAACGAATATAACCGGAAGTATACTACCTCTGAAATTATAAATCCCAAAACCATTTTAAAGCTATTCGTTTCAGAAAAGAGAAACTAAAAACCAAAGCAGCAAAGTACCTTGCTTCTCAACAATCCATTTTCTCCATTTATCTTACTGCTCTCCCCCAAACTCCCCTTCCCCCCAACCGGCTCACTAGTTCCTTACAGAGATTACAGGCAGGAAATGACATCGGGTGCTTTTAATGATTTCTTACCTTAACTATGCTGATAGGCTTTCGAGATAAGTGAAAACTTGCATACAGCAAAAATGTCAAAATAAAAATGAAGGCTCTGTACCTGAAACACAAAACAGTGGCAGGGATGACATAAAATAATAGAAGATGCCGTATGATCCAGCAACCCCACTCCTGGGCATACACCCAGACAAAACCGTAATTTGAAAAGATACATGCGCCTTATGTTTGTTCATAGCAGCACTAGTTACAACAGCCAAGACATGGAAACAGCCTCAACGCCCATCGACAGAGGAATGGATAAACGAGATGTGGTGCATGCATGCAATGGAATGTTACTCATTCGTAAGACAGAATGGAATCACGCCATCGGCAGCAACATGGATGGGCCTAGAGATTATCATACGAAGTGAAGTAAGTCAGAAAGAGAAAGACAAATACCATATGATATCACTTATATGTGGAATCTAAAATACGATACAAATGAACCTATCTGCAAAACAGAAACAGACTCACAGACATAGAGAACAGACTTGTGGTTGCCAAGGGGGAGGGAAGCTGACGGGAGGGCTGGACTGGGAGTTTGGGATCAGTAGATGCAAACTACTACATAGAGAATGGATAGACAACAAGGTCCTACTGTAGAGCACAGGCAACTATAGTCAATATCCTGTGATAATCCATAATGGAAAAGAATATGAAAACGAACATATATACGTATAACGAACATATACACGAATCACTTTGCTGTACAGCAGAAATTAAACACAACGTTGTAAATCAACCATACTTCAATTAAAAAAAAAAGGTGCATTAAGAATCCATTACAACGGTATTCTTAAATTTCCTTATGCTGTATGTTTTTTATTCAGTCCTACATCAAAGATCAATCCTGTTTAGAACAGCACTACAATATTTTAAAAATGTGCCACTTTTACTTTGTTAATTGAGACTATTTTAAACCATCATGAGAAAAACTAACCAAAGAGAAACCTGGGACACAGATGTACACATGGGTTTACAAAGCAGACAAAAAGGAAGGATGATTTAGTTTGTAATGAAACCAACTGCAAGCGACTTATAAGCCTGCTACCCTGGGCATTTAAGATCATATTTATTTTTTACTTTTTAGAAGGACACAGCAAGGCAGAAATATAACTATTTCACCGGCCTCAGTGAGAACAACTCAGTGACGCTGACAAGCTATGAATAAGGCCAATGGCATAAAAACTAGTGGCCCAAAGCCCTGCTGTTGTGCTTGGTTTATGAGAAAAGCAGTTCGAGAGGAAGTGCTGAGGTGTATGGAGACTACAGACAAGAAGATACTTTAGCAAGAAGACGAAAGTTCATTCAGGTCTAAATGTGGTTCTAAGTGTTTGAACCACCCTATAGAAAAGCGGCCCTTCGGGGAAGACAACGGGTCAGGAGGAAAAAGTTCTTGGGGCCCCTAACCCTGAAGAACCCGTCCTGTTCTGGTCTGCAAAGGCCAATGACCTTCCAACTGCGTGCGGGCTTAAACCCGTAATGACCCAAGGCGGAGGCAGGGGCAACAGAACAGACAGGGGCTGCAGGGGGGCCACGGCCCCTGGGGAGGCGGTTCATTCAAGGCCCTCGATGAGGAGAGGGCCTTCCTCCTGTCTCCCACCCACATTTCCAATGTTGTGATTTACTTCTCAAGGGTAGCTTTCTGGACTAACTAACACGAAGACTCCTGAGGGTGTCTGGCTCCCTGGCCACCAGAAAAGGCAGGAGTCAAACAAATATTGCCAGCTTTTAAACAAAAGGTCATATTTCAGGTGGGAAAAAAGGCTTGGTAGTACCGTGGGACTCAAACTGTCAACCTCTGGAACACCTGCGCTTAGCGAGGGCACGCCACACCGACTTCATCAAGGAAACATTTACTGATGGTTTTTCTAGGATTCTTTGCTCTTTGAGCCCCTGCCAATGAGCAGGTAGGAAAAAAGTGAAACTATAACCAAGTAAGTGTGTCGTCTATCGCAAAGAACACAGACTATGCAAGTACAGTGGACCTGTGACAAAAGTCTAGGCTTTTGTCCTTGTGTTTCTGAAAGTCATCCGTTTTGGTAGGGGGTGGAGGTCTCTCAATTCCTTGCTGGAACCTCTCCGCATCCCACCCCCTGCTCCTCTGCACCAGCTTATGCAGGTTCTAGGCCCCTGGAACTTTCAACACCCGAATTTCCAGCCCATAGCTAGACTCATTGGTTGCTTGATGCCCACTTGCTAGGGCTAGTGTGGACTGTGGGGGACCCCGATCGGCCCCCTTCTGGGTACAGAGCTCCCTTTTCCCATCTCCACAAGGAGTGAGAAAATATTCTCAGTCTGAGTTACCTCCAGCCCTTCCCAAATCAGAGTCTGAGAGGATTTGGAGCCCTCAAGGATGCTACATACAACCAGCTTACAGGTGTGCCATCGGCCAGGAGACTCTGAATTTCATCATCACCCAGCTCACAAGGATTTGGAAAGAGCAGGTCTACTTAAATGGGCCTTGGGGGGGCTTCCCTGGTGGCGCAGTGGTTAAGAATCCACCTGCCAATGCAGCGACACGGGTTCGAGCCCTGGTCCGGGAAGATCCCACATGTCGCGGAGCAACTGAGCCCGTGCGCCACAACTACTGAGCCTGTGCTCTAGAGCCCACGAGCCACAACTACTGAGCCCGCAAGCCACAACTACTGAGCCCTCGTGCCACAACTACTGAAGCCCGCGTGCCTAGAGCCCATGCTCCGCAACAAGAGAAGCCACCGCAATGAGAAGCCCACACACCACAACGAAGAGTAGCCCCCACTCGCCGCAAATAGAGAAAGCCCGTGCACAGCAACAAAGACCCAACGCAGCCAAAAATAAAATAAATAAACTTAAAAAGAAAATGGGCCTCAGGTTCATGGTCTCCACTCTCTACCCAGAACATTCCACTTATAAATATTCTAGTTTTATTAAGTGCATTTAATATATTTATTAAATAGAATAAATAAACCCCGAAATAACAAGCTCGTCCACATGCCTCAATCAGGTCTGAAGACCCCTGGGGCCCTAACACACCTGCATTCATTCCTAGGCTGTCAAGCTGTCCAGGTTATTGGAACCCAGCAGCCATTCCCGGGTCCTCGCCTTCTTGTCTAGCGGGCGGTCTTACATGGGATGCTCACCTGCCCAGAGCCTGCAGGGGCGGAAGTAGTTCCCATGACCGCCCCATGCTGGGGGATGCCACACGCTGGAGCACAGCCGTGGAAGCCCCGAGAACACCGAGGGCTACAGAGTGGAGAACCTGCCTCCAGACATTTTCAGTTCAGTTTTGGGTGGAGGTGAAACACCTTGATGAATCAGCCCCTTTGGGAAGAGTACCGGCCTGCCAGTTAGCAGGGTTCTTGGAGGGAACCTGCTCTGCAGAATCAGGGCAAAGGGTCAACCTACCCTGCAAACCGGGAGTTTCCTAGACACACACAGAATGTATGTCTCCTAAAGAGGAACCCGATCTTTCATTTCGCCAGTATCAGGCCAACTCTACTCCCTCTGTTTTCAAATCCTTCCTCTCTCTTTCCTCATCTTATTACGTAGGATTTGAGGAGAGGGGAAGACCCAGCAGCTGGAGGCTGAGCTTTCCACTTCTGGAAGGCCTAAACACAGCCCCACTGGTCACTTTTAAACCACTGTGGGGTTGGTGCCTTCCTAGCGGCCATGGCAATACCCCCGTCCGGGCGAGCGAGCAGACTTTTTACTTCTGCAGGGTTATCCTGGGTTATGGGGATTAAACAATCCTCCAGAAGCCCTTTCTCATTTTGTAATTCTATCCTCGTCCACCCTCTTCCTTTATCACTTGTGAAGCAAGGACTTTGGATAATATTTGTTTCCTTTTATCCATCTTGCAGTGGGTTGAATACTGTCCCCCCCAAAATTGATGTCCACCATAAATCTTAGAATGTGGCCTCATTTGGAAATCGGGTCTTGCAGATGTAATTAGTTACGTTGAGGTCATACTTAACTCACGTACGACGTAAAATCCACTAAGATCCTAAATCCAGCTCCGTGTACTTATAAAAGGCCAGGGGGAGACACAGAGACAGACAGGGAGGAAGGCCACGTGGTGATGCAGGTAGAGCTGGACAAGGAAAACTAGGACCGCCAGCAGCCGCCAGAAACGGGAAGAGGCAAGGAAGCGTGCTTCCCTTGAGCCTTCCATGGGAGTACAGCCCTACCGACACCTTGATCTCAGACGTCTGCCTTCCAGAACCACGAGAAAATTAATTTCTGTTCTTTTTTTTTTTTTGCGGTACGCGAGCCTCTCACTGTTGTGGCCTCTCCCGTTGCGGAGCACAGGCTCCGGACGCGCAGGCTCAGCGGCCATGGCTCACGGGCCCAGCCGCTCCGCGGCATGTGGGATCTTCCCAGACCGGGGCACGAACCCGTGTGCCCTGCATCGGCAGGCGGACTCCCAACCACTGCGCCACCAGGGAAGCCCCAGTTTCTGTTCTTTTAAGCCACCCAGTTTGTGGACTTGTTATAGCAGCGTCAGGAAACGAATATAATCCGATACTTTAATTTCTGCTTTGCGTTACATTTAGGCTTATGAATATTAAGCAAATACAATTAAAAACGAATGATTTAAACCTTTACTTCATCAGTGTTCCACCTGCTTTCTGTAACAATAGATAGCATTCTCTGTATCCACCAATACTACAAGAATAGTGTTTGGGTTAACCCCAAGTTTCTAGCAAAAAAAGCCTATCTCAGCAAGGCACCTTCAAAGCTTCCTCAGCAATGCTCTAGAATGCCGCAGGCATTCCCAGACAATTCAGAGACTCAAGGGAGAATATTGTTTCCTTATCTGAGTGTTATTTATCTCGGTCATATGCAAATAAGTAAAAAGTTCTTTAGAGGAGAGTCACTGAACAGTATCGTTTGGCACAGAAATTAGTAAGAAGACATCCCTAATTTAGGAACAAGGAAACGAGGCATACTGTGTCTCTCCAGAGCACCCTAAAGGAGGGCCACGACGTCAGTAATGTTATCACTGACCGCTTGGTTTAGGGGCTTTCTGCGTGGTCGCCCCTCAGAGGAGCTAGTTTTTCCCTCTAGCAGTCAATAAGGAGTCTGTGGGTACGTACTTTGAGGTTACATAGATATCCTGTTCCTCCAACCTTCCCCCCGTCGTGTGTGTCCATTGATGATCCTTGCCTAATCCAAGCGGCCCTGATGGTTTCAGGTGGCGATGCTCCAGCTTGGACACTCCTGCTCTACTTAGCGGCTGGCATTGTACTGCAGGAAGGAGCTTTCCTTCCTCCCCTTATGCGTTATTTAGTTACAGCAGGATGGACTCACTGGATACTTGTTTTATTCAATGGGCTATAATCCATTACCGGTATCGTTTATTTCAAATCTCATCCCAGATTGGGCCAGTGGGCGCCCCTTCATTTTTAAGCACTTCCTTATTTCTTGGCACAAGATATTCCAGGTTCATCTCACTTTCCCTGCCCAGTGCTGACCCAGCCTCCAAGGATGCCTGACTGGCTCCTTCAGTGGAAAACGTTACAGAGAAACTGAGATCCAGCACCGGGTGTGCTCACTGCTGCGGGGTGTTACTGTTCCCAGGGCCCCTCAGCGGGCAGAGAGAGGGCATTTTACATACACGCACACACGACCCCCCCCCATACATACACAACACACCCACGCACCCACTACATACACACACATCACACACACACACACCCATTTCTCCCCCTACTTCCTCCCCCGTTCTTCTTGGATATCTTTAATTCCAACCGAACACCACATGGTTCATTCTGTGCCTCCCCCCCCCCCCGCCACCAATATTCGTAACTCCTTTACCATCAGCGAGAAGCTGTCTCTCTTCTGTGTTATTCCTGACAAAGATGCATAATCTGAACCTAACCATGAAGAAATGCCAGACACACACAAAACAAGGGACAGTCTATAAAAGAAATGGCTTGTATCCTTCATAAATGGCAAGCTCATGAAAGACAAAGGAAGGCCAAGAAACAGTTCCAAATTAAAGAAGACTAAACCCACAGGACAACTAAATGCAAAGTGTGGCCCCAGGCGAGATCCTGGCCCAGGGAAAAAAAATCTATAAAAGACATTATTGGACATTTGATATAATTTTGAGTATGGACTGTAGATTAGATAATAGCATTATATCTGTGTTAAACTTGCTTATTTTGATCTTTGTGTGCAGTTATATGAAAATGTCTTGTTCACAGGAAATACATACTGAAGTATTTAGAAATAAAAGGGCATAATGTCTTTAACTTGCTTTCAAATGGTTCAGGAAAAAATGTGTGTGTGTGTATAAGTACATCTACACACACACACACACACACAGATGAGAGAAAGTAGGGGGAGAAACAAATGAGGACAAATGTTAAGAATTTGTCTGCCAGTTGAACCTGGCCCCCCACGGCTGGACCAGAGGCGATTCACCATTTCCTCTGCCCTAGGTTCACTCAACTCAAGACAGAAAGTCCCAGGAGAGAGAGGCCCGTAGCCCACCTTAGGTCCTCTCCTGCCTCCTGCTGGACCTGGGCTATGGCGGAAGGTCACGGGGCTGCCATAACGGGATGGAAAATCCTGAGACTCACCTACCTATCACACCTGCACACAAAGGAGGGAAGTCAATTCTCCAAAGGAAATCAAAGTGCTGTTAGGAAGAGGCAACGCATGCTGGGTAGAAAAACAGAAAAAATGTCCTTCCCAGGAATGTTAGAAGAAAAGCTAATTCTCTTCTTTTACAGCTAAGGAAGCTGAGATCTAGAAAGGTTAAATAACCTTTCAAGGTCAAAGAGCAAGTTTGAGGTAGAGATGGAATAGAAATGAAGACAGATATGCTATCTCCTTGCAACTCACAGTGTGGTCTATGGACGCAAAGCACCGCATCACCTGGGAAATGAAGACTCTCAGTCACCACCCAGATCTACTGAGTCAGAATCTGCATTTTAACATGTTTCAGGTGATTCCCAGGCACACTAAAGTGTGAGAAGCACCTTTCTATCTCTGTAGGTCTCAACCTTAAAAAAAAAAGATAGAATTTGTGATTATAAGAGTTCTACGGGAGCTCCTGGTAACATTCTTATTTTCTTCTGTGAGTTTGAAATTGTATCAAAATAAAGTTTCAAAACAAGGGAAAGATAAACACCCGCTAAATAAAAGGGAACCACTTGTGGCTAGATTAGCAGTAGACGGGAGACGAGTGGACAAGCGAACTGCTGTGGAAAGAGCCAGATGTCTGAAGTCACACCTGAGATCCTGTGGGCGCTCCACCCACCAGCCTGGGCCTGAGAAGCTGCAAAAGGTGCGGAGGCCAAGAGTGCGCCGGTGAGACGGAGCTGAGGGGATTCAGAACACGCTACTGCAGCATCAATGTTATTTTGAGCAGAAGACACGTGAGTCCTGAAATCGCTTATCTGCGTAAAAGCAGAGCCTCTGAGAAAGAAGTCAGCTGTCATAGATCCTCCCCTGGGAGCAGCCAGGAAAGACTGAGTCTTAATGCCAGAAACGGGATGTGCCCACATCACACCTAAACAGACATTGGCACAACGGTATCCTAGCTCTCAGCCTGTCTCCTAAGGGCACATTTACCTTTCCAAAAAGTTACCTGTTCTCCCAAAAGCGCCCTTCTCTTGCCCCTCTTCCCCTATTAAGATGGTATACAATCCCCAAATGCTAAAGCCCCCTGGAGTCACGTTTTTCTGTGAACTCCCACACATACGTGGTTAAATCTGTCTTTTCTCTTGTGAATCTGTTTTTCTGTCAGTTTAATTCACATGCCCCCAATCATTCAACCTATGAGGGTAGAGGAACAATTCTTCCTTCCCAACAGAGATCAGCAGGGGAGAAAACCCACTGAGAGTGTGGGTTAGAGACTAGACAGCCCAGCTCTGCACTCCGCCCTCACCATCCGCCTGCTCCAAGGAGTGTGGGATTCACGAATCTCCTGTGAGAAAGCTTCTCAGAGCACACCAGGCGCCCTCAGAACACAGAGCGATCTGCGTGTAACTTGCTCGGATTTCATTTTCTCTCTGAAAGTCCTGACCCAGCGAGGCCACTCACTAAGCTCAGAGTTAATATATTCATTTCACCCATGGCCCTGTTATTATCCTGCCAGTAGTCAGTGATCATCTTTCTGTGGGTGGGGGCCAGGATTATCTTCAGTGGACCAGAAACCACTGAAAACCTCGAAGGTTTTCAGTCTGTCTGTCACTGTCAGAACCAAAGATGGACAGCTCAGCCGTGTCCCTGGTCACCGTTTCCACCACCAATAAACCATTCAACAGTTATAGGGAGGCTGGTCATCCACATGCGTTTTATCATGAAACTGGGGGCAGGGGGCCACCGTGCCCAAGGACTTACCACTGATCCCTGGAGAACGAGACGATGAAGCGAATGCCGGGGGGAAGTGGGGCCATTTACGTCTCACTGACCGTGGAGCTTCGGTCACGAAATAAGATGCTTCATAAATAGGTTCTTAACCCTGGGAAGCATGCAGGGGTGTCCTGTGGGGTCTCGCCTCCCCTCTTCCTTCCAGCAGAGGCTCGGCTCTCTACAAGGAGAAGGAGGGGTGGAAAAGTCAAGTGTTCTGACAATGGCACCGTCGGAGGCCCTGGCAGAAGTAACTGCACGTGGTGTGGTCACCCAGCCCACAGCAGAGCTGGACTTCCCTGCAACAGGGCGCTCCCACCACGAGAGCCACCAGGTAGGGGTAGAGCATCCATCCTCGGGTGGGATGGGGGGCAGCTTGTTCAAAGGTCACTGAAATGAACTTCACATGATGTGTAAGAAAGAACCACTGATTACAGAAGAGCTAACACCTGTCCTTCTCAAACTCTTCCAAAATAAAGCAGAGGGAGGAACACTCCCAAACTCATTCTACGAGGCCACCATCACCCTGATACCAAAACCAAACAAAGATGTCACAAAGAAAGAAAACTACAGGCCAACATCACTGATGAACATAGATGCAAAAATCCTCAACAAAATACTAGCAAACAGAATCCAACAGCACATTAAAAGGATCATACACCATGATCAAGTGGGGTTTATTCCAGGAATGCAAGGATTCTTCAATATACGCAAATCAATCAACGTGATACACCATATTAACAAATTGAAGGAGAAAAACCATATGATCATCTCAATAGATGCAGAGAAAGCTTTCGACAAAATTCAACACCCACTTATGATAAAAACCCTCCAGAAAGTAAGCATAGAGGGAAGTTTCCTCAACATAATAAAGGGCATATATGACAAACCCACAGCCAACATCGTCCTCAATGGTGAAAAACTGAAACCATTTCCACTAAGATCAGGAACAAGACAAGGTTGTCCACTCTCACCACTATTATTCAACATAGTTTTGGAAGTTTTAGCCACAGCAATCAGAGAAGAAAAAGAAATAAAAGGAATCCAAATTGGAAAAGAAGAAGTAAAGCTGTCACTGTTTGCAGATGACATGATACTATACATACAGAATCCTAAAGATGCTACCAGAAAAGTACTAGAGCTAATCAATGAATTTGGTAAAGTAGCAGGATACAAAATTAATGCACAGAAATCTCTGGCATTTTTATACACTAATGATGAAAAATCTGAGAGTGAAATTAAGAAAACACTCCCACTTACCACTGCAACAAAAAGAATAAAATATCTAGGAATAAACCTACCTAAGGAGACAAAAGACCTGTATGCAGAAAATTATAAGACACTGATGAAAGAAATTAAAGGTGATACAAATAAATGGAGAGATATACCCTGTTCTTGGATTGGAAGAATCAACATTGTGAAAATGACTCTACTACCCAGAATCTGTACTCTACTACAGATTCAATGCAATCCCTATCAAACTACCACTGGCATTTTTCACAGAACTAGAACAAAAAATTTCACAATTTGTATGGAAACACAAAAGACCCGGAATAGCCAAAGCAATCTTGAGAACGAAAAACGGAGCTGGAGGAATCAGGCTCCCTGACTTCAGACTATATTACAAAGCTACAGAAATCAAGACAGTATGGTACTGGCACAAAAATAGAAAGATAGATCAATGGAACAGGATAGAAAGCCCAGAGATAAACCCACGCACATATGGTCACCTTATCTTTGATAAAGGAGGGAAGAATATACAGTGGAGAAAAGACAGCCTCTTCAATAAGTGGTGCTGGGAAAACTGGACAGGTACATGTAAAAGTATGAAATTAGAACACTCCCTAACATCATACACAAAAATAAACTCAAAATGGATTAAAAACCTAAATGTAAGGCCAGACACTATCAAACCCTTAGAGGAAAACATATGCAGAATGCTCTATGACATAAATCACAGCAAGATCCTTTTTGACCCACCTCCTAGAGGAATGGAAATAAAACCAAAAATAAACAAATGGGACCTAATGAAACTTCAAAGCTTTTGCACAGCAAAGGAAACCATAAACAAGACCAAAAGACAACCCTCAGAATGGGAGAAAATATTTGCAAATGAAGCAACTGACAAAGGATTAATCTCTAAAATTTATAAGCAGCTCAATAACAAAAAAACAAACCCAATCCAAAAATGGGCAGAAGACCTAAATAGACATTTCTCCAAAGAAGATATACAGATTGCCAACAAACACATGAAAGAATGCTCAACATCATTGATCATTAGAGAAATGCAAATCAAAACTACAATGAGATATCATCTCACACCGGTCAGAATGGTCATCATCAAAAAATCTAGAAACAATAAATGCTGGAGAGGGTGTGGAGAAAAGGGAACATTCTTGCACTGCTGGTGGGAATGTGAATTGGTACAGCCACTATGGAGAACAGTATGGAGGTTCCTTAAAAATACTAAAAATAGAACTACCATACGACCCAGCAATCCCACTACTGGGCATATACCCTGAGAAAACCATAATTCAAAAAAGAGTCATGTACCAAAATGTTCATTGCAGCTCTATTTACAATAGCCAGGACATGGAAGCAGCCTAAGTGTCCATCGACAGACGATTGGATAAAGATGTGGCACATATATACAATGGAATATTACTCAGCCATAAAAAGAAACGAAATTGAGTTATTTGTAGTGAGGTGGATGGACCTAGAGTCTGTCATACAGAGTGAAGTAAGTCAGAAAGAGAAAAACAAATACTGTATGCTAACACATATACATGGAATCTAAGAAAAAAAAAATAAAGGTCATGAAGTACCTAGGGGTAAGACGGGAATAAAGACACAGACCT